AGTCAGGGGAACTCAGGCCTCGACTTTGCCATCCTTTCACGCTGCCAATAGTTGCCTATTGGGTTGAAATTCCTGCTGGCATTTCTGGTTGGCACATTTGAATTCATGTGACCTCCAAGCACATCTGGGGAAGCTGGTCTACCTGAGAGCTGAAGTGGTTAATAATGGTTAAATAAAAAGGTTTTTACCTGGCGCCAAAAAGAGTATAAAGTTGGCCCCAGGCCCCACTAAACACTCCCGACAGTGTGGAGATGAAATCCCATAGGATGATCTCACAAGGCTGCTTTCTACCATGGGCCCCTTCAGGAGGGCTGCTGACCAGCCAGGATCTCACTGGTCTGGTCTCTTGGTACCACAGCAGAGAAAACTGTGCGGGGAGGCAGAGGCGGAGTATGCGCACTCAGAGCTGAGGGGATGCATGCGCTACACTGGAGGAAGTCAAAGATGTGCACCATGTGCCACCATGCGGTGTCACAGGAAGCACGCAGAGCTTGTCCGTTTCTCCACACTGACGTCTTCTGGTTCCTCATCCTTTTGAAACCTTTCCTCCAACTGGTTGTGGCGAAACTGCTTACAAACATGTTTCTGACTAGCGCTCATGCTAGTTTAGAGCAAAGAAAGGGATGGGTTGTAAGTCAGTGGCACAGCAGATGCATTGAATGTAGAAAAGTTTTCCCCAACTTTGTGCCTTCCAGACACGTTTGGACTGTAACACCCATTATTCCCAGTCAATGGCCCTGCTGGATGGGAATTCTGGGAGTTGTGGTTCAAGTGTCTCTGAAGGCCACCTGGCTGGGGAAGATTGATGTAGAAGATCTGCAGTTTGATCTCCAGTATCTCCAGGTAGAAACACTGCCTGAAACTTTGTGGTTGTTGTTGTTGTTAGTCATCGCGACCCCATGGACAACACTCCTCCAGGCCTTCCTATCCTCCACCATCCCCAGGAGTCCAATTAAGCTCACGCCGACTGCCGCAGCGACTCCATCCAGCCACCTCATCCTCTGCCACCCCCTTCTTTTGCCGTCAGTTATTCCCAGAATTAGACTCTTCTCTGGGGAGTCCTTCCTTCTCATTTGGTGGCCAAAGTATTTGAGTTTCATCTTCAGGATCTGGCCTTCTAAAGAGCAGTCGGGGTTGATCTCCTCCAGGACTGACCGGTTTGATCCCTTGCGGTAGTCATTGGCAATTGTGCTGACAGTACTGAACTATATGGAGCTTCGATCTGACTCAACGCAACACTGGCTCCCCCAGTGTTCAGATGTTTTAGACATTTTGAGGAATACTGGGCTTCCTTATAGCATTGCAGCTGAATTAGCTGCTCATTATGAAAGCCATATAAGCATAAACATTGGTTTTGCGGTTTTCTGGTTTTTGCTTTGCTCTTCCTATCCCTTTCTCCTTTTGTATTGCATCTTCCTTTAGCTTGAGGGCACAGACTGTTACAGTTTTATTGTTCTGTAAGCTGCTCCAGGAGCTGTTCCAGTTGAACAGCAAGGCATAAAGGCTTAAAATATATAAATACATAAATAAATAAATGCTTTTCAATCATGTGGGGCAGGAGAAGATTCAGGTGTTTGAAAGGGACTGCTGTTGTGGAACTACAGTGCATAACTGGTTTTAATGGCCAATGTGTTTAGAAGAAGCAGCGGGCAAGCAGGACCCTACCCCAAAGCAAGTTGCTCTTTCCTGCTCTTTGGTAACACGACAATTTTAGAAGTTTGGGGGTTTTGTGCACGGGGTATAGTTGTATTTTATTATTTAACATTATATTTTATATTACTGCACTAAGTAATTTTGCTTTGATTGTGTATTGCTTTGTTGCTAATATTGTATATTTATATTTGAACTTGCATTTGCTCTGATCATACTAATGTATCTGTACCGATTTTGTTTTGTTTTGTTTTTTGCATTATTGGAAGCTGCCCAGAGAGCCCTAAGGGAGGGGGAACATGATGTAAGTCACTGAGATCTTTGTAAGAAACAAGGGGGATATAAGTCTAATATTAAATAAATAAATAAAAATTGCAGCTCACATTCCAGTGAATTTCATGGCTTTATGCCCCTCTCTACCCCTGTGTCATCACTGCATGAAGAGGACTGTAAAAATCTATGTCTATTTTTAAGCTAACTAGAGAACCTGCAGCTTTCAAAGTCATCAAACTCTGGTTAGTGTAAATCAGCTTTCCCCACCTCAGTGCCCTCCAGAAGAGTAGAACTACAGTTCCCAGCCTCCCACGAATTGTCCACTAGGGTGAGAGATGTATTTCAACTGTATTGAGAGTATTGAGAGGATATGCTTCGAAAGTTGCATCTCTACATATAAATCAGTGCGTGCAAATAGTAACCAGATGTTGTTTGGTGATGGATTTCCTCTTGTCTTCTTTTGGGGGGGAGGATTGGATTCAATAAGGACCTTTTTCCTACTACACCTAGGAAGAAGAAATCAAATGCATCGATACAAGATGGGGAATACGTGGCTCAAAACAGAACTGAACTGAAAAAGAAACAGAACTGAAAAACATCTCAGAGTAATTGTGGACAATAGACTAAACATAAGCGAAGAATGTGGTGCAGCCGCCAAAAGGGCAAATGCTATTTTTCGATGCATTGACAGAAGTATTGCTTCCAAATCACAAGAAGTAGTAGTTCCCCTATACTCCTCATTATTCAGACCCCCATCTTGTGCCCAGTTCTGGACACCAAGATTTAAGAAAGATGCAGAAAAATTAGAAAGGGCCCAGAGGAGGGCAACAAAAATGATCCAGGGTTTGGAAACTCTGCCCTATGAGGAGGGACTGAGAGTCCTGGGCATGTTAAGTCTTGAGAAGACTAACGGGGGGGGGCATGATATCCCTCTAGAAGTGCCTCAAAGGCTGTCACAGAGAGGGAGCCGCAAGATCTCTCCTCGCTGATAACAGAGTAGGACACGAAATAATCAGCTCACGTTGCGACAACCCAGATTTAGGGTAGATATCAGGAACAGCAGGGGGTTGGACTCGGTGGCCTGCATGGCTCCTTCCAACTGTACTAATCTATGATTCCATGATGTGAAGTAGCCACCTAACCGGAGTTTTTGGCATTGCAACCCCCCCCCCCCCCCCGGCCTTGTGAGAGAGGCTCGCCTGCACAGCGCTTTGAAGGCTGGAGAGGAGGGGCCAGAAACACGCAGTAAGCGAGGGCTGTGGCAAGAGAGGGAGGAGGAGGAGGAGAGAAGCCCGGTGAGGTCACTTTCCAACTCCACCCTTTCCCCTTCCGTGTGTGTGAAGCTTCATTTTTGTGCGCCCCCCCTCCGCAAGAGCAATTGCGGGGGGCGACAAAGATCCGCAAAGACGAGGGGATCCTGCCAAAGCGGCGCAAGGGCAGGCGAGTGCAACGCAGCGTCGGTGAGTCAGGCGGTGGGGTCTGGACTGGGGTGCGGGAAGGTAGAGAGAAAGAAAGGAAAGCCCAGGAGGGGATCCATCGCCGCAGAGGGAGGACCAGGTCAGCAGAAGCGGCTGCTCAGCGCCTCGGCTGGATCGGAGCCTCCTCGGCACTGGCGAAGGCTCCGCTTGCATCGCTAGAAACGGCGGTGGCCCCGTTGACCGCCAGAAAAGCATCCAGAACCCGCGCTCGTCTCGTACCTGTCTTAGGCCAAGCAAAGGATCACAGAAGACAGCTGGCACTGGTCTTTTGTTAGCTGAATAAAAGCGATTCACTAAAACGGTTTTTGGGAAGATGTGGTTGGGGGGGGCGGTTGTTACAGTGGTTATTTCTAATCCAAAGCATGATACAAAACACATGCAGATCCAACCCTGTGTGGTGCGTGTAATACCTTGTTTTACAGACATGCCACCGAGATGTTTTTATTAGTAGTAGTAGTATTAGTATTATTTATTACAGGCATTTATATCCCGTCCTTTTGCCAAGCGCTCAAGACGGCTTACAAAATATAAGAGTACAATATAAAATATAAAAGTACAATGTAAAATGTTGATTATTAAAACAATATAAAACACATCATGAACTTAAGAAAAAGGAGGAAGAAAATAGAAAGTGCAACTGTGAAGGGAAAAATCCTAAAACATTGTGGGTTTGGTTCCGGACCATTGCAATAAAGCGAATTTTCTGGTTTCCCAGTGCATATAAGTTATGTTTACACTATACCGTGGTCTATTAAGAGTGCAATAGCATCGTTTTAAAAAACAGTGTGCGTACCTTAATCAAAAATACTTTCTTGCTAAAAAATGCCTCTGAGCCTTCAGCACCTTCTTGCTGGCGGAAGGTCTTGTTGCAACAGTACCATCATAGATCACAGATCACCATAACGCATATAATAATACTAGAAAAGTTTGAAACATTGTGAGAATTACCAAAAGTGAGCAAATGCTGTTGGAAAAAATGATGCTGATGGATTTGCTCGAGGCAGGACTACCACAAAGCTTCAGTTCGTAAAAAATGCAGTATCTGCGGAGTGCAGTAAAGAGGAGCACAATAAAAGGTTTGCTTGTACACGATTTGGAACAGGCCCATTGACATCAGTGAGATTCGAATTTGCCCTACCTAGCATAAAAAATTCTTCTCTAGGTATGACTGAATCTGAGTCTAGCTGCCTCATATGTCATTATTTACTCTAGCTCTATACTGCCCAACAGCTGAAGCTGCACCTGCCTCCCAGAGCACCTGTGTGGGGCTGCTTCCTTCATCTCTCTTCTCAGAATATGTATTTTCTTTGCAGCCTTTGGAATGACCACCTGGAAACTGCAGCTGATCCAAAACAGGGCAGCAAACCTGCTCATAGGGATTGGCCACTGTGACCCTATAAGACCAGTTCCTTGCCATCTGCACTGACTGCCAGTGCTTGTCTGGGCCCTGTCCAACGTTTTGGGGCCAAGTCACCTCAAGGATCATTTTCTCTCCTGCCCACATGCCACAATCATCCTCTGATTTTCTTTCTGAGGGAACTTTTGCCAAGGGAAGCCAGGTGGGTGGCCACTAGGAAGAGGGCCTTTTCGGTTTTGGCACCCTGGATATGGAATGAACTTCCTATGGAGGTTTGCCTCGCACTTTCATTGCACTCTTTCTGGTGCCAGGACCTCCTCCTCCTCCTAGGAATTCTCCCAGGAATTTTAGTTTTCAGTAGGTTTTCATTTGTACATTGTATTTCAAACCTTTGCACTGCTGCTAGGTTTTACTTTAGTTCTCACTTTTATACCATAATCTTAGTTATTTAAATGTCTGTACAGCATTCTATACTGTATTTTATGTTTTAAATTGTTGCGAATCATCCAGAGAGCTTTGGCTATAAAAATACAACAAATAAATACCTCTCTCTCCTTCAGGGAGGGCTAGGAATCTCAAATTCCTATGAAGCTGTTACTAGTAGTAATTGTGGGCTTAGATGGACCTAGGGCATTGCTCTCCTTAAGGCTGCAAACCTTGAGAGCTTGCTAAAATGATAGTGACAATATTTTTAATAGCACAACAAAAGGCTTCAGCAATTGCCTGAAGATTAAACAGAAGAGGGAGAGATGGTTCTACAGTTTTGGTGCCACTGCTGAAAAGCCCCCATCCTGGCTAGTCACTTGCCTGATCTCAGATAAGGGCTGGATCGACAGCAGGTCCTCCGAGGCTGATCTTAACCTGCAAACAAGCCCATGTGTGAGAAACAGGCCAAAGTATGAGGCCACTGTATGATTGCCCAAAGAGCAGTAATTGATGCTTCAGAGCCAGTCTCAAGGACAGTCCAACTTTAATCGCTAGAAATTGATTTATCCAGATAAGGGAGCCACAGAATTTGTTTTTTGAGGATGCTGCCCAAAAGGTTGGCCATATCCTGCCTTCTTCTGAAGCCCGGTGAGATGTGGCAGGAATGTTTTCTTTTGCACTGGAGCTACTACATAATTTTGGACCTCAGATTTAATGCTCTGATGGGGAAGGGGCTAGCCATGTGAATTGCCCCATTTATATTGTGTTTATATCATATTCGTACATGTTTATATACTTCTATTTCTCTTCAATACCTTTCTTCACCACCCTTCCTTCCTTATTTATTTATTAAAAGCTTTTGTATGCTGTCCTATTATAGAAGATCTCAGGATGGCTTACAATATTTAAAAACAATTAAAAACAACCATTTCAATAAATAATAAAACAGAACAAAACAATAAATCACAAAACAAACAGCGACTAAACTTAAAAGTTGTTAAATTTTAAAATAATGTTTAAATAAAAAGGTTTTGGCTTGGCACCCAAAAGAGTATAAACTTGGCTCCAGGTGTACCTTTGCAACTGCTTCTACATTCCTGATGCATTAGAACCCACCTACCCCACAAAAAAACCCAACAACAATTAATTGCCAGGCCCAATTAAAATAGAATGTGTGCAATTTTGCTTTTTAAACTCACATACATTGTTGAAAGAATAAAATGGACCATGCTCCTGCCGCCTTGAACCTAGACACCTTGACTTGGCAGTTGGACACATTTTGTTGTAGAAAAGGATAATCTAAAGTGTAAATAAAAACAGTAAAAAGATAATCTGTTACTACATAGATGAATATAAAATATTTTTAAAACAAGAGAAAGAATGCTGGGGCAATTAGCGTTAGCCCTGCTGGTCCCTTGTGGCAGAAGATGCTGGTCTGGAAGCGACTCTGACCTGCTTGCTGCTGCCCAGCCACCTCTGCATAGCCAAAGAGGGCTTGTCTTGGGTTGTGGGACCCTAGACTGGCCAAGGTGCAGCCCTAGCCATACCACTGTTGTTAGACAGAGATAATTTTTGTCCATTCTTGCTTTTCCCTAACTGATTGGGTTCCCTTTCCTGTCCAGGGGTTGTCTCTGGGAAGCAAGATGGAGGAACAGGACTCGCCAAGACCCAAAACAGGGGAGCGATTGGCATCAGGTGGAAAAGACCTTCACATCGTCCAAGTGGAGACCATCGGGGAGTTTCTGACTGGGGTGTCTCCATCACAGATCAAGCAAGAACCTGAGGAGGGGTTGCAGCCGTTCTGGGGAGCCCAGAAGCAGGAGTTCTTGAGGTCCACGCCTCCATGCTTCAAGTGGAGAAACGCTCGGGTCTCTCCACTCCCATCAGGGGACAATGCTACGAATTATCGGGTCCCCTTCAAGGGCCGTGCAGGCACCAGCAAGTGGTCCCCTGGAGCACAGGCTGTGGGTCAAAGCCTGCCCCTTCTCCATGGCAAAGAGGCCCCTGATAACTGTGGACGCCTGGATCCAGCCACTGACGTGAAAGAAGAGATCCCAGACGAGGAGGCCGTCACCACGGAGCTGCGATGTCGGCGCTTCCGGCAGTTTGGCTACCAGGAGGCTGAGGGGCCACGGAAGACATTCTGTCAGCTCTGGAAGCTCTGCCTTCAGTGGCTGAAGCCCGAGAAGCACACCAAAGATCAGATCCTGGAGCTGGTCATCCTGGAGCAGTTCCTGATGATCCTGCCGCTGGAAATGCAGTGCTGGGTCAGGGAACGGAGCCCGGAGAGCGGCAGCCGGGCAGTGGCCCTGGCAGAGGATTTCCTCTGGAAGCCTCAAGAAGTTCAGTGTTCAGAGCAGAAGGTGAGAAAGGTTCCTTCTAGTAACACCAAGCATCGAGGGGGCAGCGGGACTGTGCTGGAAAGGAGCCGTTAGATGCATTGGTCAAGTCCACTTCTACCCGTGCTGTTGATCCAGCTTGAATCTGGATCCAAGCCCTGATATTTTAGGGGTGGGTAGAGGGGTTTGCATGATTTTCAGAATAGCTGACTAGGGAATACTGGGAATTGTAGACATTTTTCTGTTTTAAGGAAGCTAGGGAGACATTTTTCTTCCCCTCTCTTCACTCTAGAGCCCAGGTTGTCCCATGAACCTGATTGGCAGGGGATTCAAGCTGGATGAAAGGAGGACTTCTCTCAGCATATAGTTAAACTATGGAATTGCATTGCACAAGATGTAGCGACGGTTACTAATTGGGATGACTTTGAAAGAGCAATTAGTGGAGGAGAAGGCTGTCAGTGGCTACTGGTCCTGATGGCCATGTGCTCCCTCCAGGGCCAGAAACAGTCTGCCTACACACAGCACTTCCTGGGGAACATGGGAAGGAGGGTCCTGTTGCACTCAGAACCACTTAGGGACTTTCTACTGGGGCAGATGGGTGGCTGCTTCAGAACGCTTGAGCTTTTCTCAACGCTTTATGTTCTCAGGAGAAATTATGCACACTTACACCATTGTATGACTACAACCCTTTCTCTAGCACCCTCGCTGGGTACCCAGTATCTTCCAGGGTAAACGAGGGGCAGGTCCATAACTGTGGGAGCTTACAGTGTAAAATTCGGCATAGTGGGCAGCAGGCGAAGAAGGAGGGGGGGCAGGTGAGAAACAGGGAAGCGCTCATGCTGTTTCAGTCCCATCCACTTGGGCTTAAATCCAGGCCAAGTGACTTTAACGCAGAAAGAAGCAATCCGGTGCCCTTGAGATGTTTTGGATGACAAACCACTTTGTTTCTGCCCATTAGCCATGTTGCCTTCAGCTGCTCTAGTCAAACAAACATCTGGATGGCACCTGGAATGCGAAGTAAGAGGCAGCCTGGGACTGGAACTCAGAAGATCTGGAGTATGTGGGACTAAGAATGTGGAAAGATTAAGGGGAGATCTTAAAAATGTGGGAAGAGGAAGCATGTCGGACTGGGACTCAGGAGATCTTGGTTCTAATCCTCAGTCAGTCAAGAAGCCAACTGGGTGACTTCGGGCCAGTCACAAACTCTCAGCCCCACCTACCTCACAGGGTTGTTGTTGTGAGGATAAGATTGAAAGGAGGGCTAGAATTATGTAAGCTGCTTTGAGTTCCTTGAAAGGAAAATAGGTTCGATAGAAATATAATACCTAAATAATTAAACTCAGGGGCGGAAGCCAAGTTTGCTTCATTCATGCAATCAATGAAAATTAGAAGTCATGGAGTTGGTGTGGTGTCCTGGTTAGAGTTGGACTGGGGGCCTGGAAGATCCAGATTCCAGTCCCCTGCAGCCATGAAGCTCCCTGGGTGACTTCGGGCCAGTCACAGACACTCAGCCTGACCTACCCCACAGGGTTGTTGTGAGGATAAAAATGCAGCTATGCCAGCTGCCTTGGGTTACTCACAGGAGTTAAAAAGGCAGGGTGCAAACGCAGTGCTGCCGTTGGAGGATCCGCGATGGAGTTCAGTCTGTCCCAGGGCACATTTCTTTGTCCAGGTTAAACCACGTCTTGAGTAGCTGGAGCAGCAAGTCAGGTAGGCAGGGAGAGAATGGGAGAGAAGCACTTCGAGGCATCCCTCTTTAGATCTGTGTCCAGCACCACCTTCCCCAGCCTGGCACCCTCCGTTTGTGCTAGACGGCAGGCCCCACAGCTCCCCATTAGCTGGTGCATCGGCAGCCCTGGGATCAGGTGGCATAAGATGGCATCTGGCATGCTTCTACCTTGTCCTGGTTTCCCTTTCAGTCCCCAGAGGATTTGGACGGTTCGACTGTGGGATCCCCCAGTTCTGAACTGGATCCCTCCGACATTGTGAAGATCGAGCTGCCCATGGACAGCGATGGTGAGGAGGCCCAAGATCCTGGGGTAAAGCCAGGGGTTGCGTCCTTTGAGGGGAGGTTCCTGGAATGTTCGCATTCGATGCTGCACTGGCTGAGGTGCTGGGGCGGCACAGAAACCCAGTTTACAAATCTGTGGCCAGTTGTGCATGTGTGTGTGTTCTTGCCTGTACACCACGGCCGCCCTTGGTTTGTTTCCGTCACGGGCTGCATTCTTCAGGGGTGACGTGTCGGGGGCCGCATGCCAGCAGTGGGCAAAGCTGGAAGGAACAGTGGGAGAGGCCAGAGGCAATGGGGGCATCCAGTTTGGCATCAAAGGTGTTGCATGGCCAGGTGCCAGTCATGGGTCCAGGAAAGGCTTACTGACAGGAGTCCCTGGCAGTATAGAAACATAGAAACAGAGCGAGTTAGAAGGGGTCTCCTGAGCCATCTAGTCTGACCCCCAGTTCCAGCCGGCTCCGCTCATGACATGCCTACCATGTGCATGTCTAGCCTAGAACACCCTCACCGATGGGGCCTCAACCACCTCCGTGGAAGCCCATTCTATACCCTCGGGGTCCTAACTATCAGGAAGTGCTTCCTGGCATCCAAATGGAACCTTAGTTCCTTCAGCTTGGCTCCACTGGAGCGCATCCTGCCCTCCTCCATAGGGGAAAACAGGCCTTGACCCACCTTTGTGTGACCCCCCCCCCCCACATACCTATATGTCACCAACAGATCCCACCAGAGTCTCCTCTGCTCCAGGCTGAAAAGACCCAGCTCCCTCAGCCTCACCTCCTACGGCTTCCCCTTCAATCCAGCCACCATCGTTGCGGCCCTACGCTGCACTGACTCCAACCTGACTATATCCTTCCGGTAACGAGGGGCCCAGAGCTGAGCACAGTACTCCAGTTGCGGGTACACCAGAGTCATCTAGAGTGACACTGATACCTCTCTCGATCTAGAAGCCACGCTTCTGGCTATGCAACCAGGGGTGGCGTTCGCCCTCTTGACCGTGCAGTTCCTCATCTTCACTGTCTGCCTCCTAGCCTGCTTCTGCTAACTCTTGGCCAAGCAGCAGAGGTGGAGGTGAGAAGGAGAAGGAGCAGATGCTACAGCCTGCCTGCCCACTGACTTCATCCTATCTAGCAAGCCAGTTGGAGAAAGGATGAGAAGACGGATAGGGAGATGCTAGCAAGCATCTCCTTATCTGTGGCAGCAAGAAGGTAGACTCACATTGAAGGAGGGAGTCACTGGGGGTGTTTTGGCTAAGGGCCCCAAAACCTGGAACCAGCATTAATGGATGGGATCACCCCTTTCTCTCTCTCTTTGCCCCTTTTTTCTCCCATCTTCTTCCAGCCCACTTTGTCGGGGAAGGGATCTGAATTTGTTGTTTGCAGAGGGATTTTGGAATGAGGCAAACAGCCACACAAACTAGGTAGGGGCCCAGCAGAAACGACGGCCTACTGGTTCACTGGCCCTCTGCCTGTCAGGCAAGCAGGTGGAAGCAAAGTATTCAAGATCCATTCCTGGCCCCCACCAAGTTACTGTGAGGGGTGCAACTAAAATCACAAAAGCAACAGGAAAATTGGGTGTGGGATTTTGCCATTGACCCTGCTAACGTAAAAGTCTTGCGACTTTGCAAGTCCTACAGTACTGCCTGGTGAGAGGTTTTCTTTCCTTCTCATCTGGAATGTGCAGCTCAGCTGTTTCCTTGAGATGAATACATACACATCTACATATGTAAAAATACTAAAAATAAATTAATACAAATATATATATATATGTGATTGTTTGCTTGTCGTTCTAGGAGGCAACAGCAGTGACCAACAGCAGTTTATTGTCGGGGAAGCAGCTGAGTTGCAAGCAGGAGCTTACAGCAGCATGCAGAAAAAGTCAGGCTTTGACCCACTCCCCAAGAACCAAAAGGTGCCACCAAAGGAAAAGCTCCACAAATGCCAATATTGTGGGAAGCTCTCTGACTGCAGGGCCCACTTGATCATCCACGAAAGGACCCACACGGGAGAGAAGCCACACAAATGTTCAGCTTGTGGCAAAAGCTTCACCCGGAAAGAATCCCTCATTATCCATGAGAGATTCCACACTGGCGAGAAGCCGTACAAATGCTCGGTTTGCGGCAAAACCTTCAGCGATAAGATCGGCCGCCTGATCCATGAGAGGACGCACACTGGAGAGAAGCCGTACAAGTGCTCGGAGTGCGGGAAGAGCTTTGGCACGCGCTGCAACCTCCTGAGGCACCGGAGGGTGCACACGGGGGAGACCCCGTACCGCTGCACCGACTGTGGGCAAAGCTTCCGGTACAGGCCGCAACTGGTGATCCACGAGGGGACGCACAAGGGGGAGAAGCCGTACAAGTGCCCCGACTGTGGGGAGAGCTTCAGCCAGACCCGGCACCTGGTGATCCACAAGTGGACCCACACCGGCGAGAGACCGCATAAATGCGCCGTCTGCGGCAAGAGCTTCAATCAGAAATCGGACCTGATCACGCACACGAGGACCCACACGGGGGAGAAGCCGTACGTTTGCTCCGAGTGCGGGAAGAGCTTCATTTCCAGCTGCCAGCTGCGGAAGCACGAGAGAATCCACACGGGGGAGAAGCCGTACCAGTGCGCCGAGTGCGGCAAATGTTTCACCTACAGCTCTCACCTGACCACGCACAAGCGGACGCACACGGGGGAGAAGCCGTACCGGTGCCCGGACTGCGGCAAGTGCTTCATCTCCAGCTCCCACTTCACCGCGCACAAGCGGACGCACACGGGGGAGAAGCCGTTCCAGTGCTCGTACTGCGGGAACAGCTTCATCCAGAGGTCGCAGCTCGCCAAGCACGAGAGGTCGCACACCGGGGAGAAGCCCTACGTGTGCTCCGAGTGCGGGCAAAGCTTCCGGTGGAGCCAAGGCCTCAAGAAGCACATGCGGACCCACACGGGGGAGAAGCCGTACCGGTGCCCCGAGTGCGAGAAGACCTTCTCCAGCTCCTCGAACCTCTCGAGGCACCAGAAAATCCACACGAGGGAGAAGCTGTAAAGGCGCTTCAAGGGAGAGGGGCGGCTGCAGTGAGAGGCCTTCCATCCCAGAGCGACTCCCGTGTCTCCTCACCACAGCACGACCGGCAGGGGAGCGAGCGTGCGTGGCGGAGAAAAGGGGCAGCAGCTCTGGTCTGTGGGGCCCTGCCGGGTCGTGGGGCGCCAGTGGGTGCCCAGTCAGGGCCTACGCCTTGACACCAGCCCTGATGGAGGCCACACCTGGAGGCACCAGGTTGGAGGAGGCTGCTGTCACTTGAGGCCTGACACTCCTGACTGTTGTGGTAACTCCCGGCTTACGAGTCAACGGAAAACCCAGGGCGATTGCAGAACGTGGCTTCTGGAGACGTCCCCCGTTTGCTCCCGATTGTGGGAATGGAGCCACTTGATGTCAGCACCTGCAACCACATGCCTGCAAAGCTAGGAGGGGAAGGCCCACTCTGGCCTCCTTCACTGGTTGGAGGAATAAGGGCCACTGGGAGGTTGTACCCCCTGCCTCCCAGGAAGAACATGGGGGCAAGGGGGTGAGCAGCCTGGCCCCATCCATTGGCCAGGGCCGGAGCTGCTGAGGGGGGCCCTCTGGCAGAAAGGACCCTCTGCTCCAAGGACCGGTTTCCCTGAGGCTCTGCAGCGGACACCAGGCCCCCTCCAGCCCTGCTACGGCCTGGCGAAGCAGGGCCTTCATGGCCTGCTGCTTTGCAGAGTTTTGCTATGTACTGAGCTCGGATCCAGCATCTGCCTGCCTCAAGAGGAAGGGCTCTGCCTGCAGAAGATGATTCCCGATATTGGCCCCCCCACCCCAGCTCCCTTGACTGAGCGGGTTTCCTGACCCTCCAGTTCAGCATTTGTGGGGGATTCACGGGCTGCCACAGCAAGGCGAAGGCAAGCAAGTCCACTGCCATCAGCACAGTTGCTCCAGTGTAAATCCGGATCCAGCCCATGGCGTATAAGTCTTCACACTAAGAGTTTTTCCAGAATAATGGCGGCTCATGCAGACCTGGAGTCTGGAAAGGTTGGTCTGGATCTAAAGGGACGCAAACCAGGAATGGTGGCGTGTGGTGGGTGGACTTTTGCTCTCTTATATGTTACCAAGAAGCTTTAGAGTTTGCCATTTGTATATGTCTATTTTTATGTCTGCATTTGTTTTCAGGCATTGTTGCCTGGCCATAGTGGGATGGATTGGGCTCTGCTATGGGGGTGTATGTACAAATTTATTTAAAATTCGGGTATTAGCTTTACACAGGAACACTGGCTGTAGGTTTTGTCCTATATTTCAATCCCTCATTAAATTCAAGGTGCCATGTTGTTTATTTGTCAGAACAGAAGGTCTTGTTTCTTTTTATTGCCTTAACTCTTCCTCTAAAGCTACTGTAGAACCCATCATCCTTAGCTAATATCACCTTTTTGGTTGGGGAATAATGGGGATAGTAGTCCATTTCCTCTGCAGAGCACCAGGTTGGGGAATGCTGTGCTAAGGAGCCCTATATGAAACTAATAGTTCTGTTCCCCTAACACACCCATATCTTCACAACGACCCTGTGAGGTGGTTTGTTATGACAAAGTTTCCCAGTAAACTTCCAGGATGAGTAGGGTTTTGAACTTAGGGCACTCAAGTTCTACTTTAACACTTGTCCATCACACGAACCTAGACTATGCTGGTTTAGCTGCAAACCGAAATTTATTTTATTTATTTATTAAAACATTTCTATGCCGCCCCTTGCCATGATCCACAGTGGGTTTGCAAACTGTAGTCAGAGGTAACCAGAGTCAGTTAAAACAAGGGTGCAGAGGTGACAGTCGCTGTGATCAACTCTGAAAATGAATGCACATGGCAGCAAAATGCCCAGCTCCGAGGACTACCTGGTGGGATTTCGGCTAGTGGTGACTGATGAAGAAAGAGATCTTGGGGTGGTGATGTACATCCCGATGGGAATATCAGCCTAGGGTGCTGCTGCCTTGAAGAAGGCAACCCCCCATCAGGCATCAGTAGCAAAGGAATTTAAAATAAAGCTGCCAATATCGTACTCCCCTTACACAATTCTGTGGTGTGACAACAGTGAACAAAGAACAAGGGCAGATGTGGGGAGAGCACTGGACTGGGACTTGGGGGACCTGGGTCCTAGTCCTCACGCAGCCGCAAAGTTCACTGGGTGACTTTGGGTCAGTCACTGATTCCTACCTCTCAAGGTTGTTGCGATGATCAGATTGAAAGGAGGAGAAATTATGTAAGCCACTTAGAGTCCCTTGAAATGAAAAAGGCAGGATATAACGATAATGACTTTCCCACCATCTCTGTAATAGTGGAACTCAAAGTATTGAAGTACAAAGTAATACTAGAACTCAGACTCGTCCCATGAGGCTGAGTGGTGGGAGATTCCACACAGACAGAAGGCAGGCCTGTTCGCACAGTCCGTAGTTGAACCACGGAATGAGATGTAGCGAACTGCACCCATTTCAACCGCTTTAATAGAGGATGGAACAAAGTCACGGAGGAGAAGTCTGTGGTAGCAGTTCCGTATGCCTGCCTGTACCAGTTGCTGTGGAACATGGGCAGGTGGGTGCTGTTGCCTGCAGGCCTTGCTCGTGAGCTTTCAGTGAGCAGCTGATTGGTCACTGTGTAATCAGGACACTGGACTGGCTGCTGGTCTTAGGTTCTTAATTAAGCGAAATTTCCGTTGAAGGAAGAAGAGAGAAGGCTCTTGGGAGTCCTCCCCATGTAGAGAGGAAACCTATAAACAGGAAGCACTGATTATACTCCATAGGCACTTCATCCGCAAACAACCTGACTAGGTATAAGCCCTACATCCTTCTGTTCCCAGGTGTTGGGGGGTGGTACCTCTGGTCCCTTGGTGCAGACTCCAGTGTTCCTCAGCCCTAACCAGCAGGGTCAATGGTTAGGGATTACAGTCAGTGTACCCAGGAAACATCTGGGAGGACCACGTATTCTCTACCCATGTACTGCTTGTAATAGCCACTAATGTAGATGCGTTTTTAGGGGGGAAATTCCCAAAGAATAGCTTCTGTCAGCAGCTACCAGATATGTATGACCTGTTCTGATGTTCACTGGGTAATATTGCTCTATACAGAAAAGGTTCAGAAATGTCCTTCATCTGCATAAAACTGGGAACAGCTCTCCCCAACCTGGTGCACTCTGAATGGATTAGACAGCAGCTCCAATCATCCCCTAGCCAGATTGGTCAATGATTGTGGGATTTGTAGTCCAGTGCATTGAACATAAGGACAAAAATATGTAAGAGAAGCCATGCTGGATCAAAACAAAGGTCTGTCTAGTCCAGCACTTGGTACACATGGTGGGAAACCAGCTGCCCATAGGATCCCTTAAGCAGGATGGGTACAAGGCCTCCTCCTGCCCAAGCTCCTCAGTAGCTGGTGTATGCAGGTGTGCCACATCTGGCAAAGGAGCTAGCACAGGGCCAGCAGGGCAGTCACACTGAATTTGGAAGAATACAGGATCATCCCAAGAAAAAATGGGCACGTATGTTTGGGACAGACAAACATGTAACTTCTTCACATACCACTGTATAGTTTAATGGCAGGTGCACACGCAGTGTAGAACTCCAGCCTGGCCCACGGAGCCTCTTGGGCTTCTCCCACATGGCATGGTTTAGGCTGCAAGCCCGGCTCCCTGGGAGAATACTCTCGGAGGGCATGCCCCACTGTAATCGCTAATCTCAGATGAGAGATCTAGGGGCTGGTACCCTGCCAATAGCAGACCCACAGCCATTATCTCTGATAACAGCACAGATAGGGACAAAATTTCCCTGTGCTGCAAACAGCCTGGTGTGGCAGAGTCCATTTTTCCATGCTGGAAGAGGCACAAAATTCCATGCTTCCTCCCAAGACAGAAAGAAAAGAGCAGTGACATCACAGGGTGAAGTCATGCCTTCTGATGTAATCTGGCCCTTGGTGGGGGACAGTCCAGTGTCCCACCATGGAAAATTGTTTATGACAATTCACTACAACCAGCTGAGATACCTTTAAAAAAGGATTATGAAAAATTTAGGAGGATAAATTGATCAAGGGCTTATTTTGCATGATGGTATTCATTTGTCTCTATTTTAATCAATCATCTTATGAGGTCACAGTCCCAACAAAACTCATAAGAACATTTCAAAAACAATTGAAAACAGCCAAGTAAATTATATGGGGATTATATAACAGTATTATAAAACAGAGGCAAGAATCATTGTGCATTCTTTGTGCTGATAGGGAAAAAAACTTAGCCACTAATTCTGTGTTGAAATTATTTGTATCAGCTAAGAAATGTTTTAAATACCAATTGAAGGTCCTACCTGAGAAATCACTCATTAGTGTTAAGGAATCTCGTATGCTCAGCCCTGTAAAAACTGCATACAAAAAGGACGTGCTCCAAAGTTTCAACTTCTATGTTATTACAGAGTCATGGTAGATTTCCATATGGTACATCATAATAATGCCTATCTAAAACTGCAGATGGCATACAGTTAAATCTGGCTCTTGAAAAGACTTGCCGGCATTTTGGGATAGTCAGATTTTCCAAATACCCAGCACTTGGGAGGGATTTTAAATTTAGGCCAAAATGCAAAGGTGAGCAGATCTTGTGGGCATTTGATATGAAATACTGAAAATCAATACCCCTAATCTGCTTTCCCAGAATAGTCTCAACTGCCTTCAGCTTGTGAGCATGAAGAAAATTCATAGATAGAATAGACCTAATAAATGCAATTTAGTAAGAAACCAGGAATGGATGTAAACATCTTTAAGAGGTGTAAATATCCTACAGAGGTGCACCTGTCTCAAGTTGTAAGTCTGTTTGATACTTATTGCATTTTTAGCTGTGGCCCTGTGTGGAACCTCCAGGGTCCAAGACAGTCTACCTTTGAAATATCAGGAATATGGGACAGGACAGGCAGAGGCCAGCTCAAGACTTTTTGCTGCCTGGTCAGAGCCCAGATGAGTACCACGTGTTACAGCTGCTTGGGCTGGATCTTGGGGTTCAGGGAGAAGTCTTGCTGCACCGTTGAGCCCAGTTCCAGCTTTTGTCTTTTCTCCTAGCCTTGCCCACATATTCTGGGGCCTTCTGTGTGCAAAACGTGCCATCTGCCAGTCCCCTTCCCCAGTCGAAGTGATGCTGCAGCAGGCTCAGTGCCAAGTCAGAGCATTATTTTTCTAAGCGTTAAATCACACCGGTTTATTACTTTGGTTCCGCTCACTAGCTTTATGTTCTCGTTTATAAGTAGCTGTATTTATATTTACTTGTATTTAACTTATAATGCTTTCATCAATGCATGTAAGTTTCCAAAAGCTGGAATAATTTAAATACAAGCACAATTAAAAATCATCATGGTCTGTGGCCCTTAATTCTATCGTAATAAGACGGCTGCATTGTTTCCACAGCATGATTAACTTATGTGTTACCATACACCACCGTGGAATCCGTCACGATCGAGTTGGGGGGAAAAAATCACAGTAGACGGAAATAAAAACGTCTTCTGCTGGGCCGCCGTTGGAAAGCCGGGTCCCGGAGGCGGTACGTGCTCCTACGCTTGCTTCTTCCTTCGACTGAAGGCCCGCGGCGCCGACGCATTAAGGCCCGGCTGCTGCTCGCCCGTCCCCTCGGCAACGAGCGCCGCTGCGAGCCACGCGAAGGCCGGAGCGGAGCGGTGCGCGGCATCCCGCTGTGTATCCCTGCCGCGTTCTGATTGGCTGGGAACGAATTTCGGCCGAGCCAATCCAAGGCGACAGGCCTGGAGGCGGGCCGACACGCGCATCAGAAGGGACGTTTCGCTTCGATTGGCTCAATATCCTGCCTCCCTTTCCTTGATTCTCACCAAGAAGTTTCCGAAACTTTTCTGCCCACCTCCGGTCCCGAGCGTGCATCTTAATTGGTCGCTTTGTCGCTGTTCCTCTTCGCTTCCCCACCCTTCCCCTCTTCATTCGCCTCCGATGATTCGAAAAGCACAGGCGAGGAGCGGATTGGCTAATGGCTTCGATGGGGGGCGGGACCTGGAGCGTGGCGCGCTGTGCGAACTCCGCGGAAGGGAACGGCGAGGAGGAGTTTCTGGCGGTCCTGGAGCGGCGGGGCCTGCGGCGGGTAAGCTTACCGAGATACCCCTTCCACGCTTCTGGGCATTGTGACGTCACAGCCACTGTTGCGGGGCGACCCTCGCGCGCTCTTTGTTTAAAGCTCCCGTCTCAGCCCGGCTGCCCGAGTGGCTGCGTCTCCCATTGGTCTCTTCCGGCTTCTGGCCTGCAGCGTCATCCCGGGAAAGCGCTGCGGTTGCGTGGTGACGTCACGGCCTCCCTCCAGGCTCCCACCCGTAACGGGGAAATTCTTTCTACCTGTTTTACTTTTTAAAATATTTAGGAAGTGTCGTCACTGGACGCTGTGTGTGACGTGACAGTATGATAGAAGGCAAAATATGCTTCATTTAAAATGAATGCTTATATAATACCTTTGATGGGAATTTAAAAACAAAAGAAACAGTTGCTTATCTCCGAGGAAATCTTGGTTGATTTACCAGTGCAAGCCCGCGTGGGTCTTCTCAGAAGCAAGTTCCGTTATGCGTAATGTGCGCCTTCCAGGATCGGAGGCAGTATGTCTTTGCACCCCGCTTGTTGGGCAACGTGGGTAGGAGGTTGCCGTTGCACCCCGGTCCTGCTCATGGGTTTCCGCTGGCCCCTGGATGGACCCTCGGTCTCTCCCAGCAGGGCTCTTCCGGCGTTCGTAGGTACCCCTGGTGGTGCATGGGACTGTAGCCTAAGGGCACGTTCAGACAGAAAAGAAAAGCCTTGCAGCTCCTGGTCTCCCTCTAGTCAGCCATGCAGGGAATTGTGAGGCTTTCTTTCTCTGTGAACATGCATTAGGTTGTATTATTGCTGCGATAATTATTGCATTGCATTTCTACCCCTCCTTTTTTCCCTCTTGCAAGGCCTCCAGAGGGGCTTGCATAGTCACCCCTCCTTCCATTTTATCCTCATAACAGAACAACCCTGTGGGCTGCATTAGACTGAAAGTAAGTGACTGGCCCAAAGTCACCCAGTGAACTTTATGACTGGATGGGGACTGGAAACCCAGGCCTTCACATTTCTGTGCGGTGCTCTTCCCCAAGAGGATGCCCTCCAGATATTCTAGACTTTGACTTTCATCACCCCTGGCCGGGGATTCTGGCAGTTGTAGTCCAACACATCCAAAGGGCCCCACGTTAGGGAGGGCTGCCATGCCCACTTAGCTAAAGTGAGCCACATGGAAGTGAATGGCACTTCTGAGGCCACAGCACAGCACGGTGCTGTATTTTTTTGTCTAATTGTGCATGTAGGGTTGGTGTCAGCAACCAGCGTCCTTGGGCAGCTGCCTTGGTCCGCCGCTAGCACATGCTTTTGGGGCTCCTGCGGAACAAAAACATCTGGCCTGAGCCTCCATACAGTGCTGGGCTGCTGTGTCTGCCTCCTATTTTAATTTCCCACAGTGATCGAGGATGGCACAACATCAGGGACACAGTAGAAATTAAGGAGGCAGATTGGCTCAGCAGCCTGTCACTTCTTGTGGGGGTGCGACTGCTGCCCATGGTTGCCTAGTAAGTTTGCCGGGATGCAGAGATGGAAGAGAGGCCTGGCCAGACCGAAAGTTGTGCCTGGATTCGTGTGTGTTACGTTGGAGGAGGTGTTCCCCTGTCCTTTCTCACACAGGATGAGGGGGATGATGTCCCTGCTAGAGTTTGCCCCACTTTTTTAATAGAAGTAATTTACATCAAATGCACTGTAAGATTTTTGTTGCTGTTAGCTCTTAAAAAAATCTAATAAACACTTCCCTGCCTCTTCCCTTACAAGTTTCTCCCTCTGTTCTGAACATTCACCTGTATTTAAAGAATTAAGTTTCCATATATATAAATAAAATCATTAGCCAATGAATAAGTAAATAGTTACATAGAAAAAAATGAAGATATTTTAAATTAAAAGGGTGGCAAGTTCTTAAAGAGGTGGGAGTACCAGACCATCTTATTTGTCTCTTGAGAAACCTATATGCAGGTCAAGAAGCAACAGTGAGAAATGGACACGGAACCACTGATTGGCTCGAAATTGAGAAAGGAGTTCGGCAAGGCTGTATACTGTAGCCCTGCCTATTTAACTTATATGCAGAGCACATCATGAAAAAGGCCAGGCTAGATGAATCACCAGTTGGAATTAAGATTGGCAGGAGAAATATCAACAACCACAGTTATGCAGATGATACCACTCTCATGGCAGAAAGTGAAGAGCCTCTTGATGCTGGTGAAGGGGGAGAGTACAAAAGTTGGCTTGAAACTCAACATTAAGAAAACTAAGATCATGGCATCCGATCCTCTCACTTCCTGGCAAATAGATGGGGAGAAATGGAGGTAGTGACAGATTTTATTTTCCTGGGCTCCAAGATCACCACAGACGGGGACTGCAGCCAAGAAATTAAAAGATGCTTGCTCCTGGGGAGGAAAGCTATGGTAAATCTAGACAGCATACTAAAAAGCAGAGACATCACCCAGCCAACAAAAGTGCGTATAGTCAAGGGTATGGTTTTCCCAGTTGCAATGTACGGCTGTGAAAGCTGGACCATAAGGAAGACTGAGCACCGAAGGATTGAGGCCTTTGAATTGTCTGCTGGCGGAGACTCCTGCAAGTCCCTTGGACCGCAAGGCGATCAAACCAGTCAGTCCTATAGGATATCAACCCTGACTGCTCATTAGAAGGCCAGATCCTGAAGATGAAACTCAAATACTTTGGCCTCCTAATGAGAAGGAAGGACTCCTTGGAGAAGAGCCTAATGCTGGGAACAATTGACGGCAAAAGGAGGAGGAGAAGGCAGAGGATGAGGTGGCTGGATGGAGTCACTGAAGCAGTCGGTGTGAGCCTAAGTGGACTCCGGGGGATGGTGGAGGACAGGACGGCCTGGAGGAATGTTGTCCATCAGGTCGCAATGGGTCAGACACGACTTCGCGACTAACAACAACAAACAACCATAGGCATCTTCTGCTTTCACTAGTTTTGTAGTGAATTACTCTGTATATAATTCAAGAAAATCCTCTCATTATATTGAAATTTGTTTTGTTTTAATAATTTGGTGTAATATACCTTTTCATAAGGTAGTTCATCTAATCTTGAATATAGAATAATATGCTTAGCAGTTAATGTGGCCTTACTAAACTACTTAGGTGCAATTCACTGGGGATGTCTCTAAACCTCTGATTTTGGAGGGTGAGAGGTATTCTGTGCAGGGCAGGTGGAGCATAGAGTCGATTTTCAGTTTCCTGCTCTGCATTTTAGCTAAATGACTGATTTTGGTTGTCTGGCTGCAGCACTTCTGGGAAGGATGCTGGAGTGCCATGAGGGAATCTTACATTCTGGCAGACCCACTCTCAAAAGTTCCCTGCTTATCCTTTTTACTCCTTTCCTGAGTTTGTTGTTACAACCTTGAAGGAGGAGGCAAAGCAGTTCTTTGTGTACCAACTGTAAAATTCAGGAGGGGGATCTGAGGATGGATCTCCAGGTCTGACTTTGGAGCTGGGGTCCCAGGAATCTGTCTAGGGGCCATAGGATCACGGCCTCTTTAGCACTTTAGGAAATCTGTTTACCACTTCGTTAGGAGCTCTTATTTAGTTGATCAGAATTAAAGTTTCTGTCAATAGTTTGTGGCAGCATTCATCACTTAGGCGTTTGCTTTCTTTCTCCCCTAGTTCCTGTCATGCGCTCCTGCTGTTGTTAATATTTTACTGCTACTTGTAAGGCATCTGATGCTAGGCTAAGGAGGACTTAAAGCTTTACGTTTTTGCAGATAGCGAGCAATTAAGCAAGGTAGATACTAAAAGGAGAGAGAGTTTCCGGGTTCTGCACTATTGTTTCCTTCTCCTTTGGAGTTCTGTGCTATGAGATGCAGTGATGAGCTTAAAAGGGAAGTTATAACGATCCATGAAACCTTTGTTTATCCATGGCTATGAACCACAGGGGCTGTTTTGAACCCCCATGTTCAGGGGTAGTCTGTCTCTGAATGCCTGTTGTGAAGAAATTGCATCAGGTTTATATCTGAGCCAAGGAGGGCTGTCCTCTACCGTCAAGGGCTTGAAAGATTCCCAGGCACATTTTGCTGGCCACTGCAAGAAAAAGGAAGTTGTTACAATTCAGCAAGGCTTCCTGTGTCCCCCAAATCCCTCCTGAGGCAAGGCTTATCTTTCTTTATTCCCACTAGTCACCATGAGACGTGCTTCACCAGCTGATCCCAGTTCCAGGAGAACCCCCTCAAGCCCACCTTCACGCCGGAGGCAATCTCCCAGAGCATCACGCCGGGGACGGTCACCTCGGTCACCACGCGGTCGTCCTCGGAGGCAACGTGCAGCAGAAGCGGCAGGTAAGAGGCACTTCGTCCAACCTTTGGAGCAAAAGTGAGTTGATGCACTGAACCTCTGGGCTAGATACTTCCTGTGTTCCATTTTAGACTGCCCAGAAACAGGGAAGCCACCCCAAATGAATCAAAAGGGAGAAGGGGATGCTGGGTGGCCATCTCTGGAATCCGGGGCGGCGGGTGGTAGGTCAGGTTTTGCTCCCAGGGAAGCCGTATCTTACCCTCAGCTTCAAGTCCTGCACCCAGGGCTTTGCATCCACAGAGTTTCTCATAAGAGAACACAACTTCTCACACAATTTCTCACACATTCTCTCTTCCCCTGCCTCTCTTTACTGGGATTTTTGGCACCAGACTGCCTGTAAAAACAAACAGCAAGCAACACTTTGTCCTGGTGCTGCAGGGGAACTGGGGTTGCAAACAGATGTAAATCAGTTGAAACTGTCTATTTGTGTTGAGTAAATATTTTGAGAACGTGCAACCCAGCATGGATTAAAGCTTTGGGGGCTGATGCTCTAGCACAAGGCTAGACGAATCATTAGAGATGTGACATCAGCCTTGGGAATTTTGAAGGATTTGTCCAACCTTGATTAAAGAGATGAATATGCTCTTGGCAACCGATGGCTTGGTTTCATTTGGAATAAACCTAAAGATGGGCTGGGAACCAGGAAAGTCGGCAGAAGATCGTTCTGTTTGCTATTGACTTCCAAGTATGTCCACTCAGAATTGCAGCTGAATGATCTTGATCATGCAGTCTGGGACTAATTAGCAGTTTGTTTTGGCTCAAATAAACTCCCAGTTTTCAGTGGTTCTCCTAGGTAGAAAGCATTTGTTTTCCTCCCCAGATATATTACTTGGCTCAGGAGTTGTGACCCTGCGGCCCTCCTTATGTTTCTGGATTCCGTGCCCATCATTCCTGATACTGGCTGGGGCTGATAGGGACGGGAGCCAAACAACCTCTGGAGGGCACCAGGTTCCCCTGTCCAAGGACCACATTAGTTTCTGCAGACCCCGTGGCCTGAGGGGAGTCAACGTAAGCAATGGCCCCTCTTTGCATTCTCCCCTTCCCCCTTTCTGCCCTGCTTTTCTGTGTACTGAGGATGGAGGAGAGGGAGAGGTATGCACTGGGGATGCCGTACCGCTGTGCTGGAGAAGTTGCACCTGGTACCAGGCATCAGCCTTTGGGTTAAGTCCTAGCCCGGCAGCTGTTGGTGAGCAGGCGCTGCATGCGGGGGAGCGAGCGGACTAGAGCGCAGGGGCGGCGTGTGCCGTTCCTTTGCCCGGTGGAGAAACCACACCTGCCGCTGGGACACACCTGCCTTTCCACACCCGGTGCAGAGGTGCGGTGCGGTGGGAGGCTGCTGGAGGAAGGGCAGCGCTCCCAGAAGGCGAATAAGCATCTTGGCTGTCTGGTGACTTCTGCCAGCATCATTCCCAAGGCTGCTTTCTGTGTTGCCGCGCTGAAGATGGGCATGTTGGCCAAATCATTGCGGGCATCTTCTTTCTCATTTCGGTGTCTTTCAAACCACTTTCTGTGGCACTGGAATGTGGGGGGGGGATTTCAGAACCTGATCAGGGTTCCCCCACTGAGAAGCAATTGCTCCCCTGAAAGTCAGGTTGCTCACACAGGGCCCATTTTCCCCCCAGAGCCAGCTCAAGACATTTGTCGCAAACGGTCCTTCCTTCCACCAGCCACAGTACATAGTTCTGAAGTCTGCTTATTTATGCTCGGGACTTATATATTCTGAGCAGTGCACAATAAAAAGAAAACAGGAACAGAGTGGGGTGTATCAGAATACAAAATATTCAAACTCAGATTATGAGATTTATAACTGTGGCTGGTTAGTCAGGGAAGGCTTGTTTAAATAAGAATGTTTTCATTAAGTGGCAAAAACAAAACAACACTGGGGTCTGCCTGACATCAAGAGGCAGGGAGTTCCACAGAGAAAGAGCCAGCTCACTAAAAATTCTCCTCCTGTTTAGTTTGACAGCTGAAGCAGAAAACACCCCGAGCACCTCTTCCTGGCAATAAAAATACAACAATAATCAGTTAAGAGTTGAAAAAGTAGCTGCCCTTTCATGGAACCCGAACCAGCTGCCTCATTCTGCATGGTAGTGAGTGGAGCCAGCCATTCCCCCTCTGTAATATGCGGGTGCAGAAGAATTAGAGGCACATTTTCGGAGGCAACCATGAGGTCTTGGGCCAGCAGCCCCATCTGGAGAGAGTTGATCCAGTTGCCATTAACCTTTCTTTGGCAGCTTCCCAGCTTGACTAGCCCAGTGCACTGGGCTTGTGGCTGCCCTGAAAAGTCTTCGGAAACCTCAGGTGCTTCAAAGCGTGTCTGTTGGATTAACGGGGGGGGGGGAACGCTCTCCGTACTGGGGGCTTGCTTGGTTCTAGGCAGTGCTGGTGCAGACCAGTCATTCCCTCCATTTCAGTCTTCGGGTGTGCTCACTTAGAAACGAATACCCCGAGGGAATGCAAATCCCTCAACCCAGTGAGGACTGGGCATGTTGAGTGGCTACTGAATGCTGGCTGCTGGGAAGGAAGTTGCAGGAGACTGGCCTGGGCATGCAATGGAGTTCCTTGGAAGAGGCATGGCTGGCTAGCCGAGTTTCTCAAGGAGGGAAAAGGAGGGATATAAATGCAGCGTAGTAACAACAACAAGAGGAGGAGGAAAGGCGAGCACGAGCGCTTCACATAATGGCAGCTTGTGGAATGACTCCCTGTCGCTGCAGCTAAAGTGCTCTGGGACCGGGGAATCCGACGTCTAGCCAGTGCTGTTCACACCTGCACCTCTGGGGCTACAAGGCAGTCTGACCCTTTGGCCTCCGGGAGCCTCAGCACTTCTCTGAGAATCGGGCAGAAAACGCACCTTTCCTGGAAAGCATCAACCGGGGGTGGGGGGTGTTGAATCTCTTCCAGCCTGAGGACCAAGGGCCGTTTTGGAGAAGTTCTCAGGAGCCTCTTTCCACCGGGGGTCGTGGCTGAAGGCTGCAGGGGCTGAGCCAGGATGAGGCACTTTGTGACCTGAAACGCTCAGTACCAGCAACTGAGTCCTGGGGAGGCGTTGCAGCCATTTAGCGTGGGGCAAAATGTCTCAAGCCAGGCGATCTCCCGGTGATCACCAGTTGGGGAAGGGCGGCGTGATCACCTGTGGAACCCAGGAGAGCTGGATTTGGTCCCACAGGGCTTGCCCCCCTGCGTGAACCCCCTTTCTAGAGATCACTGTGCAGCACCCCCACTCCCAAATACTCGTTCTCTTCTCGTACCAGCTTTGTGCCATCTGAGCCTCCTTTCCTTTGCTGACTCGGTGCTTTTCCTGGTCTGCCTTCCCTTGCAGTGCGCCAGCGACGGCGAAGGTACCGACCTGGCCAGCGGGCGATGCTGGAGATCCGGAGGTACCAGAAGAGCACCAACCTCCTCATTCGGAAGCTGCCCTTTGCCCGTGTGGTGAGTCCTTGCTTGCAGGCCACGTACTGGTGCGGCAGAGGTCGAGCGCCCATATAGCCTGATCCCGCCTACTCTCGGAAGCTAAGCGGGGTCAGGTCTGGTTGAACTCTGGAGGGGTGGCTTACTAACTGTGAACCACCCAGGGAGCTTTGGCTACACATGGTATAAAGGGGAGGAGGAGGAGGAGGAGGAGGCTGGTGAAGAAAATGCCATGCATATTTGCGGGGGGCAGGGTGTGCAGACACATGCTGATCTGATTGCCGTGCACCTGGACGTGTGGCAAATCAGTGTGCACCTGGAATGCTGGAATTTTCAGTTCTGGCCAGGAAGGATGAGAATTGCACTCCAGCGTATCTAGAGGGCATCAGATTGGGAAAGGCTGATTTAGGCTGCTTTACATGGTGCAGTGGTTTAAACTTCTGTGCTGCTGGGCCGGTTGATCGAAAGGTCGCTGGTTCGAACCTGCACAACGGGGTGAGCTCCCGTTGCTCCGTCCCAGCTCCTGCCAACCTTGCAGTTCGAAAGCATGCAAATGCAGGTAGATAAAAAGGTACCCCTTCAATGGGCAGGTAACAGCGTTCCGTGCACCGCGGTGTTTAGTCATGCCGGCCACACGACCACAGAGACTGTCTGCAGACAAACGCTGGCTCCCTCGGCTAGGAAACGGAGATGAGCGCCATTCCAAGAGTCAGACATGGCTGGGCTTAACGTCAAGGGGGAACCTTTACCTTACCGTTACATGCAGAAAAATAAATGGCAGCCACACACCAGTGTGCACATTGCGTGCATTTGCTGTTACATTACGGCTTCCCAGAACTTACACGCACTTTGCATGAATATATGGTGATTTTGCAGGACTCGATTTCACATGCTTTTTCCTACCAAGAATTGCTTTGTGGGCAGGGAACATGTGACCTGGGATGCAGCGCCCCCCCCCCCCCCCCCGCAAATCCTTTTCATTCCTTCACTGCTGAAGTGCAGTTCTAGGTTTGTCCACATGGTGGTGCCATTTAACATATAACTTTGGTTGCAAAGAGTTCTAACCCTGTCCTTAAAAGTAAATACGTGCGTGGGATGTTATTACTTCTGTATTTGTTAAATAACAAATGGACATGCTGTATAGGAGTTGCAGTCTGACATACCTGGATGGCTGCAGATCAGAGAGGCGGGTTACCCCATTTGGCAACAGTAGAAGCTTTCAGAGACTCAAGGCTTGCCTTCTGAAAAGGAACGTTTTTAATAGTTCATCCTTGAGGGTATAAATTGATTTTTCAGTAGAAACACAGTCTATTTCTGCTTTTTAAAAACAATTATTACGTTTATTCCATTGCATTTGTATTCCATCTTTTTTTCCCCTTTTGCAAAGAACCCAAGACAATTTTTTCTTCCCCCTCTCCACCCTGCTTTGCTCTTTTGTATGGCCCGTGGTTCTGTTTTATTTTTCCCTTTCATTATTTCACCTTGGAATTCAAAGGTTTGCATTATTTGTAGGAGAAGGATGTATTTCAGTGCAGGGTATGTGGAAGGACTATGAAAAGGTCATTTATTCATTCCATTTATAGCCTGTCTTTTTCCTTCAAGGAACCCAAGGTCGTTTACCTGTCCCTTCTCCTAATTTTTGTCAGCACAGCAACCCTGTGAGGCAGATAAGGCAGAGCATCAGTGGCTGGTGCAGTGTCACCCAGTGACCCTCATGGCTGAGTAGGTCCCAGAACCCAGCTCTCCTGAGTCCCCGTCCCCCTCTAACCACTGTACCCCACAGAGGGTTTCTTTTGGTTGTGTTTTGTTTAAGTCAGAGCAGTCTTCTCACCACAGGAATAAAATGGAGATTCCCTGCTGTTCTCTGGGATGCTTTAACTTGGAGTTCTGCATGGATCAGGGGTTGGGCCTGATGCCCATATTGGCTCCTTCCAAATCTACTGCACTATGATTTTGTGATTCTAGGTGCCTTCAGGTTTGCTGGCCTGCAGGCCCCAGAATTTTGACCCAAAGGTCCAGTCTTAACTGTCCCGTTGGACATATCCATTGAATATCTAGAGAAAAACAGACAGTCTTGCAGCATGGAAAAATGCTTATTTTTTCATGTATATCCCACTTTTCCTCCAGGGAATTCAAGGTGATTTACATGGTCCTCTTCTCTATTTATCCTCAGAACAACAACCCTGTGAGGTAGGTTAGGCGGCGAGTTGGCGACTGGCCAGAGCCTCCCAGAGAGCTTCGTGGCCAGTGGGGGACTAGAACGCAGATCTCCTGAGCCCAGAACCGCAACCGCTGTGTCGTGCACTCTTAATACGGGGCTCCCCCATCCAGGTTGCTGACCAGGCCTTTGCTTCCTGAACTTCAGTAAAGTTACAGCACACGAGCCCTGGAAGGCCAGCCTCGAGGCCTGTCTTGCTGCGATTCCCATCTTCTTTTCTTCCTTCCTACCTTGCAGGTGCGCGAGATCTGCCTGGATTTCACCCGGGGGGTTGACATGCAATGGCAGGCAATGGCTTTGCTGGCTCTGCAAGAGGTGAGTGTGGAGATGGCGTGGAGGGGGATCGAGGGTCGACCCACACACCCCTACACAGTTCCACCCATCCATTACACACACCTGCCTGCTGGCGTGTTCTCTCTCTCTCTCTCTCTCTCTCTCTCTCTCTGCCTCTGCCTGCCTCCTGCCTCTCGCTCTCTCTCACTATCTCGGAGGTCAAGGCACCATACACCATCCTAAGTTATGGAATGCGCTCCCCAGAGAGGTCCGCCTGGCGCCGTCGTTATTCGTTTTTCGGCGCCAGGCGAAGACCTTTTTATTTAAGCAGCATTTTCAATGTTAATATTATTGAATTTTATCTGGCCAGGGTGGCTTATTTTATATTGTATAGTTGTGTTTTATTTGAATGTATATATTTTAATTTTGACTTACGATAACCTAACTTATTGTTGTAAGCCGCCCCGAGGCTTCGGCGAATGGGGCAGCACAAAAATGTTTTAATAAATAAATACATACATACATACACACTTTTCCCGCTGCCCCCATGGCTTATCCTCACACAGACCCTCCAAAGGAGGTCGGTCAGGCTGGCCCCAGACTGCCCAGTGAGCTTCGTGGCTGAGTAGAGATTTGAGGCCTGGCTCCCCACTCTGTTACTGGGCCGCACTGGATCTTTCCCTGGTGTACCAGCTGGAAAGCTCATGAGCAGAACACGAGTGCAACAGCACTCCCCCACCCATGTTCCCCAGCAGCTGGAGCACACAGAGATACCCCTCTCACACTGAAGGTGGCATACAGCCATTAGGACCAGTAGACGTCAACAGCCTTGCCTTTTATGATGTTTTAAAATCTCCCTGTAAAGCCATCCGGATGGGCAGCCTCTGTTACATCTTGCGGCAGAGAGTCTGGCAAAGCGCCTTGCCCTTCCTTTTGAATCTCCCTCCCTCCATTGACTTAATCCCAGATTTTACTACTAGGGGAGATGGAGAAATACGCCCGCCGCTATCTGCTTTCTCCATACCATGCGTAGCTTCTGGTTTGCTTTGGGATGAGCTTCCATCCGTTGACCCTGTGCTCTGCTCCCCGCCTGGTGTCTTTCTCTTGCAAGGCAGCTGAAGCTTTCCTCGTGCACCTGATGGAGGACGCCTACCTTTGCGCCATCCACGCCAAGCGTGTCACCCTCTATCCCAAGGACATCCAGTTGGCTCGGCGGATCCGCGGCATCCAGGAGGGCTTGGGTTAGCCGCCTCCTCCTCCTGCACCCCTCCCTCCCCCAAGCCGAGGATGTAGCTTCTGCAGCTGGAAAAAGCACAGGCAGCCCCTCGGAAAGCCCTGCACACACTCTGGGACCTGCCTCCAAGGGAGCACCTGGCTTCGGAAGGGGCTCCTGGCTTGAGCCTGAACATACCTTGGAGGAGCACCACACCTGGCGGGAGCTCTGGGGAAAGCCAGACCTTCTTACTCCAGTGTCCAAAGACTTTCCTTGTCATAATTGAATCAATTCTGTATTCTGAGCCTGTGAGAGGAATTAATCTGGGACGTTGATTGGCAAGAGGTCACAGTTCCGCAACAAATTACGCACCTTTGAAACCCCATTGGTTCTTCCAGTGGGGCAATTACAGAGCATGAGCTTAAAAACCTATTTACTGAGAACCATGGGGACTTGCAAATACTTCAGGTTTTTCTTTCCTTAACCAGGATTGTATCCATAATTTTTTACTTCAAGTTTTAAATTTCGTTTGGCTTCTTGAGGGTGGAATTTTACATTGGCTGGGCTTGTTGTCCTTGGATGAGGCCATTCCAGTAATCGAGCCCAGAAGTGGGTCATATGCAGCCCACGGGGCACCTGTGGACCCCATTCCCCAAATTCAGTGAATGTGTGTGCGTGCACTTAAAAAGTGCCATCTGTAGTGACTACGAAGCTCCAGAATTGCATTCCACAGCTGCAACAATGGCCATCTTAAATTTTTAATTGGGAGTTTTAATTTGGGGGAGGGGGTCCAGTGGGAGCAAACACTCCTTGATCTAGCCTATCTTACCTTCCTGTTGCCATTGCTTTCTTATCCTCATGCATCACTCTGGAAAGGGGACTCGGATAGGAGAGGAACTGGAGAAATTCTCCAGCCGGTTGGCAGGTTCACCAGGTACGTCTTACCTGCTTTCATCTGGAGGGTAAGAAGCTGGCCAGAATGCTAGAAGCTTAAAGCTGGATAACAATGCCTGAAAAGATTGCAATCGGCAGAAGGAAGGACTTTGCAGTGGCGAGGAGAGAAATGTGTCATGGGTCAATTGGAAGAGGCGCTTTCAGTCTAATTTTAATACACGAGTTTTTATGTCATGTCAAAGTTGAATAAAACGGGTTTGAACATTTGCATGCCTCGCCCGTTCTTGAGAGGAGCTTGAATCTCTGCGTGTCTGGTGGTGAGGATGATTCACTGGCACATAGGGGGCTTAAGAAGCAAATGTGGGGATCTAGAGCCATGAATTCTACTGGTGCCATTTTCTTTCAGCTCAGTTTGCCTTCTGAGAAATGTGTGTCTTGTAACCACCCAGCCAGCCATTTGTGAACGGGCTGGCCATTCCAGTGGCAGCCATTTTGTGAAAGGGGATACAACAATCTCAACATTCTGGATGCATCCATCGTCACCCCCCCCCCCAAAAAAAAAAAAAGATTTGAGGACCCCCTAGGGCATGGCTGATGAATCTGGTTGGCAGTGCTTCTTCACACAGGCCACATTTAAAGATTGAGTAGCCACAAGACATGGCGCAAACCACAGGCCTTAATGGGAAATGTGACAGATGCATGAAGAGGTCTTCCAATGGCCATTAGCTCAGTGGAACCTCTGTCTATGCACAGGATACCCCTTTATACCAATTCCAGGAAGGGTGGAGAACACTGTAGAGGGTTGTTGCATTGAAACCCTGCTTGGAGGTGTCCAACAACCATCTGCGTAGCCCCTATGACCTTGTTCACATGACATGGTGGGCGATTGTGGCTAATCAGCCCAGTTAGCAGCCGTGTGTGGGGGGCACGTGTGTCCACCTTTTCAAGTAGCCACCCCTGCTCTGGAGTTGTGGCATGTGTGAACCCAGCCACTGGGAGAGGCCCAGCATCCCAGCTTCTCACTGCGTACTGTGAGGCCTTCAGCGAATGTGGAAAAACACGCTCGCCTGCCTGTAGGCACTTCCAGCCAAGCTGTAGGCAAAGCCTTATTTTAGAATGATAACCTTGTGGTGTGAAGGACAGGGACACGGCTGGTGCACATGGCCATAAATTTGGTCAATGGTGTCATTTGTGCAAGTTGTGGGTGAGCGTGCGTGGTGCCCCTCGGCTCTTGGGGAGAGAAGCCTCTCCTTCACCTCTGGGGCAGAGCTGTGGGGGGCAGCACTGTGTGGGGAGAGCCCTCCCTCCCTAAGCACTCCACCCCCAGGCCTGTCCCTGGGTTTATATCCTCCAGGAGAAGTTCCCTGTGCCCACTTAAGCCATGCTCACAGCTGCTCTTCTCGTCCTCGTCCTCCTGGCCGTGGGCCTGTGGAAAGGGTGGCATGCCAGGCCGCGCGTGGACAAGGCGCTGCCCGGCCCGCGGGCCTTCCCCCTCATTGGGGACATCCCCCACCTCTTCCACGCCGACCTTCCCCTCCACTTCCTCAAATTAGCCCAACGCTATGGACCCATCTATCGCCTCCGCTTCGGGAGAAAAGGTGAATTTGCGTGTGTGCCTGGCAGCAGGATGACGGAGGGGGCTGCAACGTGTTCTCCGAGGCTTTCAGGCCTTCGTTACAGTTTTAGGGTGCTTAATGCTGCCGATTTGTTGAGATATGTGTAGACAGAGAGGTGGGAGGGAGAGGCTTGCATTGTTTTGGGGTTGGATTCAGATCCCATCGTGCTTCAAGCAGATATGCTGGTATCAACGGGGCAGGTCCACCATCCTTACCTCATTGTTCTGTGTGGCCTAGTCTAATTCTGGATCTAACCCTCTGTGTATCTAAAGTTCAACATGCCACTTTTGCACTGTAGTTTTAATATGTGCATTGAAGTGGTTCATCAGTGTGATTGTTGAAGGCTGGGGAAAAGAAGAAAGCTTTGTAAACTGCATTAGGTCAGTCAGGAAGGTGAGGGGTCTGCAAACCAAGTGATGGAAGGAAAGGTTGGAGGAGCTGAAAAGAGAGTCTAGAAATAGAGTATTAAACAGACATGAGAGCTGCCTTTGAATATTGGTGGAGCAGAGGCGTTCACGGTCATTGCAGAGGGCAAAACTGGAAGCAGGGAAGCTGTGGGAATGATGTCAGAGTAACCTGTCATGGCCTCAAAGAGAGTTTGAAAATTTCAGAAGCCAATCTACAAATTTTGCAGGAGACTAACTTTTCCCCAATGGCAGATTCTAGATATGCAGACTTTTTCTTATTTTACATAATTTTATGCAGATGTAGTAATTTATTTATTGCATTTCTATAGTACCCAAGTGCTGAAGCTCTCTGGGCAGTTTGCAACATAGAAAAATATCTCAATTTTTTAAAAAGCAACCAAAGATGATGGAAATCGTAGTCCAACCGTAGTCCTGGAAGGCAACAGCTTCCCTACCTCTGCTTTATTCTATAAATGTGCTTGTTTTACTATTTCTTTTAAAACAATCAGTTCTGGGACCAGGCTAAATATTTACACACACAGTGATCAATATCCATGCTAGATGTCATTCGCCCTTTCTGATGTTGGTTGGATTGGTGATTCTAGTCTTTTTATCACTTTGACTCCAGTAGGTTTTGGAATTGGTACAAAAAACTGTGTGCAAAAAAGTCATACGTGTGTCAGGTGGACTCAAGAGCTTGGGTCCCTCTTTCAAATCACCTTCCAATCTTTCTTATCCACAAAGAGAACTTTTGTCCAGCCTGGGCTAAGAAATGATTGGGTACTATTACGGCTGGGATTGTGTGATCTGGAAACTTTTTCAACTTCTGTTTCTCCTGCTCCTTTCCCTCCGGTCCCTGCTAGATGTGGTGGTACTGAACAGCTCGGATCTCATTCGGGAGGCGCTGATACGGAAATGGTCTGACTTTGCGGGACGCCCTCACAGCTTTGTTGGTAATATGGCTCGGCAGAGTGTAAAGTTAAAGGCTGACCGTAGACGCGGACGCTAAACTTAGGCATTGTTCAGACTTCGCCAACCATGGACCTTCGCTCTGCCTTGCTGGAGGGCGGCATCCTGTGTAGGGAACAGCAAACGCAAGCAGTACAAAATGCTGGAGAAAATGTAAATGGAATCCGCATGGTTTATGTGCAGTGGTACCTCGGCACACGAATGCCTCGGCCCACATATAACTCGGGTCACGAACAAAAATGTCTGAAGAATTTTGACTTGGGCCGCAAACACCGCTTTGGGTGGCGACCAAGATCGCAGTTCCGTTCGTGCAGGGAAGGCGTGCCTGATCAGAGGTGCGCTGCTGCAGGAAAGATGGGCGTGATCTCGGCCATCTCCCCCCACTCCAACCAGCACAATTGCGGCCATCTCCCCACCCCACCCCACCCGAGTGGGGAGATGGCCGTGATCGTGCTGGGGGGCGGGGGGGAGATGGCCGAGATCGTGCCCATCTCTCCCTCCCCCAGCACACAGTTTGCGCCCGTCTCTTCCCCCACCCCACAGTGTGCCGGGATGACGGGCATGTGCGGGGATGATGGACGCGATCTCGGTCGTGCTGCGGGGGACAGGGAGATGGCCACACTTGTGCTTGGGGTGGGAAGAGGGCCGTGATCTTTGTTGTTGTCACTTTGCTTCACATTTAGTTACAGAACGGATCAAGCTTATTTACATTGAACCTCATGGGGAAATTTAACTCGGCTCACGACCAATTTGGGTCACGACCAGAGCCCTGGAACGGATTAAGTTCGTGAGCCAAGGTACCACTGTATTCACATGTGCTGGTCAAGTCCTGTTGCTCTGTTGCATTTGTTTAAACATGACAGCAACCTGTTGGTTTAAAAGATCAGGTCCATTTGTTTCCTTGTCTCTGCTTTGGAAAACAGATATTAAATGAGAATAAGGAAACCGCCCAAGACCGCAGGAATGCCGCTGTGCCTTGCCTCAGCATCGTTTCAGTATTAATGAATCCTCCTGCATGTTGAGCTGCCCTTCCACTGCCTGCCAGCAGCTAATCACAAAAGACTGGAGAAGAAAATAAGCAGTCAAGGCTAGGTGCAAAACAGGGGGAAGGTGGGAAAGCCGTGGCACAAGAGGGTAAAGGTGGAAGCCCTTTAGCTGTTTCTCTTAAGCGAACAGAAAGTTTTGGCAGCGGCCCTTCCAGCCTCAGCAGCACTTGGGAGAATATGAGAATGGCAGATAAGGTCCAGTCAAAACAGAAAAAGATCACTCTTATCAGCAAAGGCGGGGTTTTAAATAGAAAGAGTGTGGATAAAACAAGAGAAAACAAATAAAAGCCTTCAAGTCTTCATAGGATTTCACAGCTGTCAGAGTGTTTGTGGATTGAAACACCCCTGGGAAGGGAGGAAGGCACATCCTGCAAAGGTTGTATGGGGGAACTTGGCGAGCATTTAACTTTCTCCCTGTGTCTTCTGGTCCCCTCAAGGGACGAACAAAATCAGGCACTGGTGATCTTGTCACCAGCGGCAGGCATTCTTCCCACGCCCTTCCTTTCCCCACCCCACCCTTAAGCCTGCAAGCCAATGTGGTGGAATATTTATCTATTTACTGAAAACATTTATAAACTGCCTATTGTGCGGATGACATCTCTAGGCGGCTAACATCAGATAGGCAGAGAAGACCTGGGTTCCAATTTTCACTTCCCAATGAAGTTTGATAACATTGTGCTTCTTCTTGACCTGTGGGGCGACGTGAGAAGCTTCAAGTTTTTGGTCCATGTGGTTCAGAATTGCCCACATCAGGGGAGACAGCTCTGTGGCAGGCAGGGCCTCTTTCCTGGCACTGGGGGTTACACAAGAGCTACAGATTGTCCACCCTTGGCCCACATGGATTGTCAGTCGAAATCGAAGGTTTCCGATGGGACTTTCCCAGCCCCGTAAGGGGATGTCTGGGCTGAGCCCGAGATATATGGGCCTGCAGAGCAGCTGTTCTATGCCTGAGCCACGACCTGTTTGCATAAAGGTGTTTTCTGATCCCACACCTGCAGCTGACCTTATTTCTCTGGGAGGCAAGGATCTGTCCCTGGGTAATTACAGCCCCACTTGGCGACTGCAGAGAAAAATGGCCCACACCGCCCTCCAGCGCAGCCTGCGGGGAGACCTTGAGCCGACAGTGCAGGACAAGGCTCAATGCCTCTGCAAGGTAGGACCATTTTTAAAGGTGTGTGTGTGTGTGTGTGTGTGTGTGTGTGTGTGTGTGTGTGTGTGTGTGTTTTTAAAAGGAGGTTTGTATTACTACCTGCAAGCACTGGTGGGGGAGACCGAATCTGAGACAGAAGAGCCTGCCAAAGCCTCTTCCAAGCAAAGCTTTGGCAAGGGTGACATTCGAACCCGGGACCTCCTCATTCATAGTTTATTTATTTCTTATTTATTACAAGCATTTATATCCCGGCCTTCCACGGAAGCGCTCAGGATGGCTTACGTTATATAAAATTCTGAAATGCAATATTAAAACTACAATGATTACAATATTTAAAATTGAGCATCATAAACTAAAAAAAAGGAAAATAAAATAGAAAGTGCGACTGTGAAACAAAAAGAAACAAAGCATCTTAAAATGTCTCAGACGCTGAATTGTTAAAATGATGGTTAAATAAAAAGGGCTTTACCTGGCGCCGGAAGGAGTATAACGTCTAAGTTTAGTGCAATGACCACTACTGAAATGTCCGTGTTGCTCCCAAATCCCCACAGCAGGGCGTATGGTTTTGGGGAGCAGGGTCTGGCATGCCCTGCCTCAGGCTCTCCGGCTTTTAAGAGCGAGTTCCTGCCCTTTGATGCTCCAGTGACGGTCTTGCAAATGGGCTGGGCAACGCCTGCTGAGGTTTAAGAAGATAAAAACCAGAAGAGCCCTGCTGGATCCAGCCAAGAGGCCACCTAGTCCAGCACTCTCTTCACAGCAGCTGCCCGTGGATCCCACAAGCAGGGCTCGAGCGCAAGGGCACCCTCCTGCCCAGGCTCCCCAGCAACAGCTGCACGTGGGCATACTGCTTCTGGCACCGGAGGTCGCAGAAAGTCACCAAGACTAGGAGTGACTGAGAGCCTTCTGCTCCCTCCATGGCGGTCTCTGGGCCTTCCTCCGAGAACCGGCTCTGGGGGAAGCTTGGAGGGTGGCCATGGTGGGGAGGGCTCTCTTGGAGGTGGCCCCCCAGCTGTGGAACAACCCCACATGGCCCCGACTTGTCATTTTTCCAGCGTCAGACTAAGACAGCGCTTTATGCGTGGTTACACGGGGGCGTTTGGGAATTAACTACCCCAGGCATTTTTCTTTATTTATAGGGTCATTCTTTAATTTATGTTTTAGCTGTTTTACATTTTAATGTTTCTCTTATAAGATTCTATGCTTTTACAGTATTTTATTGCCTTGTTTTATACTGTTGTAAACTGCCCTGAGAACTTGGGCTATGGGGTGGTGTAGAAATGAAATAAGTAATAAAAAAAATAGTACCATTTGTCAAATGCTGCTTTAAAGTCTTCCAAATTGGTGGTCAGTTTCCATGCAAAACAACTTTTTGCTTTCCATCCATGTCTAACAAAACCAGACAACATAATACAGGCTAGAATTACAAACAATGAATTCTTTAAAATTAGATAAACTATGTATGTTTATGAAAACTATTTAGTTATTTTATTTATTGTAGTTAAACTGCCCACTAACCAGAGTTCTCTAAGCAGTGTACAACATCTGAAGAACTTTAAATGTCAATGTAGTGATTAAGAGCACAGGGCTGGGACTCAGATTCTAGTCCTCGCTCAGCCACGGAGCCAACTGGGTGACTTTGGGCCAGTGACAGACTCTCAGCCCAACCTACCTCACAGAGTTGTTGTTGAGAGGATAAGATTGAAAGGAAGACTAGAATTATGTAAGCTGCTTTGAGTTGGTTGTAAGAAAAAAAAGCGGGACATTAATCAAACAAATAAATAAAATACAAATAAGGAATGAAAACAGAGAGAGAAAAGCAAATTAAAGCTAGACACAAAAGAAAGCAGTTCTTTAATGGCTGGAAGAATGTAAAGGTCTCCCTTTTGATTATTTTTAATATAAATTATGCGAATAGTTTTATTTAGATATATTCTCCAAGGTCATTCAACAATATTGCACATGCAAAACAAAAAACAGGCCAATAGAACAGCAGGTAACAGAGCAATGAAGATGAGAACAAAATTGGGTTGTTAATAGGACCCTACCAAAACAGATATTTATCTAGTCTGCAAACTACTGTAAAATGGGAACTGTACAAATGCCTCTCTGTCCCTAACCATATACTCTACTCACAGTTTAGGGTCCCCTTCTGATGCTACCCAGACATTTAAATCTCAGGCTTCCAATCTTTCTTCTGGCTTCCAACAGGTTTTGCACGGTCACGGCGGGAAACCTGTGGATGTGGCTCATATTTTTTCCCTGCATACCTCCTGGGTGATCAGTACCCTAGTGTTTGGGCCTCTGGTGAGTGGCCAGGTGCATCGGGGGGAAAAGGATGATGCCCTTCTTTCTCTCCAGCAGCCTCCCTTTCCCTGGCATCGCGTTAGGCTGCTCTGCCGGCTTCTGAGCATCGCCTCCCCCAGCTTTACTCTGGTCCTTTGCTCCTTGGCAGGATCTGTCCGTGGTTGAAAAAATGCACGACTGTATGATCGACCTTGTGGAATCGTGGAATGCATTTTCTGTGCAGATTCTGGATGTTTTGCCCTTCCTCAAGGTAAGGGTAGCTTGCAAAGAGGGTTCCTTTCTGTTGCTTTGGGAAGCCTGTGCTAGTTTATATAGTGGACAGTATATGAAAGTTTGCTCATTGTACTTTGTGTCCTGGGTGATACGTGGCAGAAAGCTGACATGTGGTTCCCACTGCCTCTTCTTGCAGCTTCTGCAGACTTTCCTTGCACGGCCCCCTCACTGAAACTCGGGGCAGCAGCAAAAACAGTCTGTTTTCCAATGTGGAGCAGGGCATGGCTGAGCATGAGCTCATTTTCACGTTGCATTTGACCTTTCTGCCGCTCCTCCACAGAACAGCTTCAGAACAAATGGAGGTTCAGAACAAGAAAGAGGGGAAAGAGGGGAGGCGGCAGCAGTGGTCCCAGCAAGGGGGGGGGGGGGGGGAATGGCCTCCAGACCCCTAGAAGTTTCCAGGCCCTGTTCTGAAGAGCTGAAAGCACCATTTATGTGCTTTCCCTCCCACTTTTCCTGCCTGTTATCCTCACAATAGCCCTGTCAGGCTTAGTAATAGTGAAAATGGTAAAGTCACCCAATGCTCTGCATGGCTGGGTGGCAAGGCTTGAGCTCAGTTCTCCCCAGTCCTGGCCTGAGACACTAACCGATAGGCCCCCCTAGTCTCTTGCAGGACTGCCTTAAAGCGCAGCCATGGAATGCCTCTTCGTGTTTTTGCTCTTCAGAGCAACCAAACTGAGCAAACCCGGTTTGTTGCAAATATAAATTCCCCAGACCAGCTTATTGCTTAACTAAATGTTAAGAATCCTCGATAAGGTCCTGGGAGGACTTAGATTATCCTACAACATCTGGAAAGTTCTTGTGCAACATCTGGAAAGTTCTTGTGCAACATCTGGAAAGTTCTTATGCATGATGGAAAGTTCTTATGCATTTCAATGGCAGAGTGGGAGCGATCATCCACAGAGCCTCAGCAAACAGTGCAGCTTCTCTGAGGGAGAGAACAGGGCAATCTGGTAGAGGACCGTCCCAGTTGTGTATGTGGATGAGGGTGTCCAGCAGAGAGGACTGGAAGGTCTTGGAAGGAGGGGGGGCAGGGAGCTGTGGAAGAGGGCTGGAATGGGAAGGAACTCAGGCTGCTTGCTGAGAGCAAGTCCATTCTGGGCTCCCAGGTCTTCCCGAACCCCAGCTTGCAGCGCCTGCTTTGCCTCATCAAGAGACGGGACACCCTTATACAAAGCCAGATGAAGAAATGCCAGGTGAGTCTGTGGAATGTATGTAGGCTGGGCTGGGTTTCCCTGGGGTGCTCTCTGGCAGAGTTTGGGTGGGGAGCGTCCAGTGATGGAGGCTGCAAACTGATAAAAACTTACCTGTGATCTCAGTGGGGCAAACTTCTGAGTAGACCTGTGCAGGTCAGATTGTGAGAAGCAGAAGAGCTGGGTGTTCTGCAGGTCGATGGATGCAACTCCCATCATCTTCAAACAGCACAGCCGGTGGTTAGGGATGACGGGAGTAGCAGTCCAGGATCTGGAGGCCCATGCAGTCCCCATCCTTGCTTTAAAGATGCCACAGGACCTCGTTCAATCTGTTGCAGAAAAAGCAAGTGGGGGGGGGGAGTTGGGCTTCTCCAAGGGCTGGAGAGAGGTTGTGGGGGGGGCAAAGGTAAAACCTCAAAGGACATTTGAGACATTTCAGCTTAGCTAATCCAGAACAAAAGGCCAGCAGAGAAGAGGAAAGAATGGACTGAGAGAAGCAGGTGACTGGAAAGGGTGGGCTATCACTTTTTTTTCACAAAACTGGCAAGCGTCACCAGAACTGGGTGAAACTGGTGTTCTGGTTTCTCTTAAAAGGTGTGGCTGGAGTCTCCGTAAACAGAAACTGAAGTTAGTGTTTGAATCTGGAAAAGTATGTAAGAACAGCCATGCCGAATGGGACAAGGGCCCATCTAGCCCATCATCCTGGCCTTCTCTTCCAAAAATGTGTTCAATCCCCTTTTAAAGCTGTCCAAATTTGGTGGCCAAGGCTGCATCTGATGCCAATGAAAGCCACAGTTTAATTATCGTTCTCAGCTTGGGTTCTTCTAACCTGAAAAAGGAAACCGTGGGCCATAATGAGGAATTCTGAAAGAAAACGTTTTAAACCTTTTCAGTTCAGTCTGCTTTTTAGGAATGGCTGGAATTCACGAACTGCTTCTCCTCAGTCTGTGTACAGTGGCTTTAAAGGATGCCTACCTTTTACGATTACGAACCTTTCGACGGAGTGCTGCACGCTGCCCCGGGAGGGAGCATTCGAGTTACCGATCCCAGGCGGCGGCATGAATTACTTCATGCCCTGCAACCTCCTCCTCTCAGGAGACCCAGCAGCCCGCGGAGGCCAGGACCTTGGCGGACCGCATGCTGCACTTCGCCCGCGAGCACGAGGCCGGCAAGCCGGGGGACGCGGCCCTGACGCAGGAGCACGTCCACATGGCCATCGTCGACCTGCTCATCGGAGGCACCGAGACCACCGCGGCCTTGCTCACCTGGGTGGTGGCCTTCTTGCTGCACCACCCCCGGGTAGGACGGGGGGCGGGCAGGGCCTCGGCATCTGCCGCGGGACCGTCGCCGCGCAGCGCCGCCGCCGCCGCCCGGAGCTGCCCGCGGCTCTTCCCGCCCGCCTGCCGCGCACGCCGGGCGGCGGGGAGGAGGCGCGCATGCGCGGCTGGCCTCTCTGCCCGTCCTGCGGGCAAGTGGGGCGAGGACGGGAGGGGCGCGGACCGGCGCTTGGGGGAGACCTGAGAGCCGGCCTGGGGGGGGAGAGCGGGGCCGAGTCCAGCGCAGCTAAGTCGGGGAGACTCGCTCTGCGGGGGGGAGGCCGGGGGTGCTGCCTGGTCCGCAGGAGCCCCAGTCGCGTGGCGGAGCACCCCGGGGCTTGCAAGCTCGCATGTCTGCGCAGACGCCTGCCGGGCCCGCGCTCCCGTTTTCTGGCCGATCGTTCCCGCAACCTGCTGCCTCTCTGCATCACTTCCCAAGATCTCCATCGCCTCAGGGGAGTCCAAGAGGTTTCCTTGCACAACTGGCATTTGCTGGAGCGCTACTTCTGAATGTGGGAGTTCTTTTACAACAAAAGCCACTTTAGAAGTTTTATTTATTTATACTTTTTTTTAAATTCCCCTTTGACCTAACATCCCTCAGACAGGAAGCCTCTTGGAGTGGCTAACATTCCGTCAGTAAAACAAAACAGTCCCAGCCTGCTGGCTTATAATCAAAAGAGACACAGCATACAAGGAAAAGGGCAAGAGGAGGGAAGAGGAAAAAGCAGCATCTTTTCAGCAGGGCTCATGGCATAGCCCTGTTTTCCCTTCTCTCTCTCTCTGTACAGCTGTTGTAATGGCTTCCACACATGTAATCATGAGCTGAATTGCCAATCCAGATCTAGCTTTATGAAAAAGGAAAAAAAAAAAAAAACCATCTTTGCTCGCTTTCTCTACACCTAGGATAGGGTACCTTTAACCCTCCAGATGTTATTGAACTGCCAACTCCCATCATCCTTGATCAAAGGCTGGGGCTGATGAGAAGTAGAGTCTCTTGGTATATTGAGAGTGATAGGTTTCTCACCTGTTCTTTACCATGTGGTGTAAGCGGAGAGCCCTACTGGCTCAGGTCCACATAGCCTGAGCCATGGACATTCAGGTGGCTATTCTGTGGAAGGTAGTCCTCTCATAGAAGGGGTGGCCCTCGAGTTGACGGTGTCCTCTGTGGGAAAGGCAGTCCAGTTTAAAGAGAAAGAGGCACAAGAAGGAAGCGCTGCAGAGGCCTTGAAGTTGCTCATCAGCAGTTTGAATCTGGACAGCCAGACTGAGCAGGCTGTGTATGTGTGTGTGTAAAACCTCTGTTCTGGAAGGAGGCAGTGTTGCTCAGTGGTAAGAGCACCGGACTGGACTCAGAAGATCTGGGTTCTAGTCTGCTTTTGGCCATTAAGCTTGCCAGCGGTCATACATTAGTAACTCTCAGCCTGATGTACTCCACCAGGTTGTTGGGAGGATAAAACAGACTGGAGGAGGAGCACTTGCGGCTTCGTGAGTGCTTGGCCGGAAGACAGAGGATAGAAATGAAATAGTTGGATGAATAAATGATGCCAGAGAGCAGACCGGGTGCTGAACCGGCAGGTGTTTGCTGAAGGAACCTGGCGGCCCGCGTCCAGGAGTTTGTGGGTATGGTGAGACTTGGGGTTCTGCAAAACGTCTCTTCCCGCCTTCCTGCCACCCCAGGTTGAGGAGCAAATCCACCAAGAGCTCATGGCTGTGGTTGGACTCAGCCGGGACCCCACTTACAGTGACCGGGAGCAGCTGCCCTACCTGAGCGCCACCATCCTGGAGACCCTGCGCCTCCGCCCCTCGGCACCCCTTGCTCTGCCCCACACGGCCACCCGCGATACCAGGTACCAGATTCCCACCAGCTCCGTCCCAGCATCGCCACCTGTGATCACTGGGCTGCTGGCCCCTCCGCTGGGGCCAGGGATTTGCCCCCTGCCCTAGGTAAATGAGAAGATCCTGGCCGGATCAGCCCAAAGGGCCGGCTGATCCACCCTCCTGCAGTGGCCGCTGGCTTGTCTCTGGGCAGCTCTCAAGAAGGGCCAAAGGCAGCGGTGCACCACTTGAGACCCTCAGCCTAATTTCTTCTTCTTCTTCTTCTTCTTCTTCTTCTTCTTCTTCTTCTTCTTCTTCATCATCATCATCATCATCATCATCATCATCATCATCAGGTTCTATACCACCCAATCACCAAGGCTCTCCGGGTGATTTACAACATTAAAACACAACATAAAATTCACCATCATTAAAACAGGCTTCTATGTAGCCTGAAGGGCCTGATCCTGCCTAATCATGGAAGCTAAGCAGGGTCAGGACTGGTTGAAATCTGGAGGGGTGATTTAAAAATGGTGAACCACCCAGAGAGCTTTGGCTGCAGGCGGTATAGGAATGTAATGTGATAATCGTCGTCGTCGTCATCTTCAAAAGGCAGCCAGCCCTCAGCCTCACTGCAAAAGCCTTCTGCCCACAGTCGCTTCAGAGCTCTGCTCGCTGAGCAGGAAGGAAGAGGGGACAAGAGTGAAAGGACAAATTGACCAGGGAACGCCTGGCTCAGGCCCCATCCCCTGCCGGTTGTGGTTCCCCTCTGGCGAAAGGAGAAGACCCGTGTTAGGGTGGCTAACAGGGCAGCTGAGAACCCAAATTCAAAGGAAACCTGAATTCAGACAGTATAAAAAACCTACATGAAAATACAGCAGCAGAAGGGTTAAAGCAATGCCAGCCAACCAGGCAGACTCGGTTAGGTCTGCTCAGATCCAGACTAACTTTGCCTGCCGACGGGGCGACGGGCAACTCTCCTCCGTTGTCCAGTGCCAGCCGAAACGTGGGTCCCCCTCTTTTCCTTTTGCGCTGCCTTGTGCTTGGGGTTGCTTTTCTCCACAGGAGCAGCCCGGCCTTTCCTGGCCCTGGCCGGGCACCCTCTTTGCCATGGATGCTCCTGAGGGGGAAGACCTCCATGTCACTGCAAGGAGCCCAGGGTGGTAGGGCAGCTTCACAGCGGGGCAGGAGATGGCTCTCGGCCCCCTCTGCTCTCCAAGGGAGAAGCCTGGCAAAAGAGCTGGATTCCAGAAGAGGGAATCAGCTCCATCAGGATAGGGCCCCCTTTCTGACTGGGGGGTCTGTGTGACATACTTCTGGGCTGCTGAGCACCCCTCCCAGTCAGGCTGTGGGGGGGGTGTGCCTGTCCCTATGCCCCCTACCAGCCATCTTTGACCTGGTGCCCCTCAGCTGGGTTGGGCTTATTCTCAGGTGAGCCAGCTGTTGCCCATGGCAGGTGGGCAGCTGGCAGCTGCCACCTGATGCTCCGCAGAGGGCACTGGACTCTGACACACAGCCTGGGCGCTGTTCAGCAAGCTGTGACTCTTGGGCTTGGGGCCCTGCCAGGCTGGCCGAGGAAAGGGCCCGGGGGTCTCAGCCGGGGGCAGCTGCCCTGGTGACTGTGAGAGGACCCCTCCTAATGCGTTTTCCTTCCTCCTCTCTCTCCCCACTCCCCCTCCAAGCCTGTCCGGCTTTTCGATCCCCAGGGGCACCACAGTCATCCCTAACCTCTATGGAGCCCATCACGACCAGAGCAAGTGGCAGCAGCCTCTGGAATTCAGACCAGGTAGTGCTCCGTGCGTGTGTCCGTGCACGCGTGTGTATGTGCGGGGGTGCCCACACCTCCCTGTGCATCTCTGCAGAGTGTGTGTGTCTTCTGCTTGCGTATCTGTGTGTGCATCTCTCACTCCCTCTTTCTTTTCTGTGTCTCTTGTTCATTTGCATTTGTGTGTGTGTGTGAATCTCTGTGGAGTGTTTGTGTGTGTGTGTCTCTGTTTTGTGTATGCACACGTGTCGGAGAATGGTTGAATTATCAGCATCTGACAAGACCGTGCCGTTGCCAGTACCCACTGCGGAATTAAAAAGTATGGTCAATTCAAACAAAAATCTTCACTCACGTTTCAGGATGCAGTTCATCCATCTCTGCTTGGTGAAATACAAGTTTACTGTGCTGCAGGGAGTCCTCTAAGGAAATCCAGCAGCTGGAAGAATATGAGCTTTTACATGAGCATGAACAGTTACTTGGAAAAAATGAGAAAAACAATAACTGACAAGAGGGCAGGGAAGCCCTCCTCCAGGGAAGAAAACACATTTCCTCATGCTGCACCTGTATTTTGCCCACAGCCACCTCTCCTTTCCAGCAAAGCCCCGTTCATCAACATTCAATTCTCATCCAGATCCTATCACTATTCATATTCGTTCCACTACTTGCATAGCATCTTGGTTTTGGTTCATTCTCTACTTCTTAGGCTTAGAAAGTTACTGGATACAACATTTATGATTCAGTACAAGAACCATTGTAATTCCTCTTCGCGCTCGATTTCCCAATGACCCCCAAGGGCCCAGTTCACCGCCACCACCAGGCATCCCAACCACCTTCCGCTGTTAAGGTGTTAACAGTGTGGTGCATAGACATCATCTCCCTTGGGGTCCCCAGGTCGTTTTTCTCTCTGCTTAGCTTTACTTGCACAAACACAGCATGTCTGGTTAATCGCAGCGCATCGTTTCCACTTTGCTGGGGACAACAGAGAAGCTCAAGCCATATGATTTTGGGGGGCAGCTCCTGTAAGAATCTCCCCCCTTTCCTGCAAAGAACTGATTGCTTTGCCACCAGCATTTCTGCAGCACCTGAGATGCTGATGAGAGGTTTTTTCAATTCAGGAAAAGCTCCTCTAAGAAAGGCACTTCCCAGACTGGTACTTTTCTCTCCCAGGGAGGTCCCTTTTCACCCTGGCGAATCAGCACACGAATGTTCATGGTATACTTGGTCGTGCCATGAGAATCTGTGGATTGCATCTGCCACTCCAACTCCAGGCAAGGTTTTACGCACCTTTGTTCCACATAATCCGGTGTGGCCCAGATGTTCCTGCATGCGCCTCATTTTTCTTCAAATGCCCCTAACTTGAGATGATAATCTGTGATTGTTCAATATTGTTTTTGGTAATGTGACTTGTATTATTTTATTTATTTTTTAAATTTATATTCTGCTCTTTTGGCCTGAGGGCCCTCTAAGTGGATTCGAGTAGGATCCTTTATCACCTGGTCTACCTACCACATTCTGGAACATCTGATTTTATAAATAACCCTGGATTATGGACTTCATAAGTTGCTAGTCCACCATGTGGACTAGCAACTTACTCAGACTACTCAGACTACTCAGATCTCCAGCTGCTGGTTTTGCTGCTAGTACTGTTTGGCTTGAAGCAGATGACCTACAATGGTCTCCCTCTATCCCCCAACTCTCTCCAACAGGAAGAAAGAAGGTTTCTACTGTGGGAGGCCCCGGTCCCAGGAGTGGCTCCTTTGCCCTGGGCTGTCAGCTTCATTTCTGACAAACCCTGTCTCTCTTCCTTCCGCCTAGAGAGATTCCTGGAGGGCAGCGCTTCAGCCAAGGCCCAGCGGCATCTGGTGCCGTTCAGCTGTGGGGTCCGGATCTGCCTGGGAGAAGCTGTGGCCCGCATGGAGTCCTTTCTCTTCCTTGCCCACATCCTGCGGGATTTCCAGATCTTGCCCTCGACGCCGGGCTGCCTCCCTGATCTGCAGGAGCACTTTGGCTTCCTTGTGCAGTGCAAACCATTCACGGTGCGGCTGGTGCCCCGGCTGGTGGCTAACCCTGCAGAATGAGGCCTGCGCCTGTCAGGAGGCGGGACCCCCTCCCCACCTGGCCAGGCCTGGTTCTCCCTTCTTCTCCCTCTCCCAATGCTGTCCTCAAACGAGGTCCTCGGTTCAGTTTAGCCTAAATCACACGGCACCAAAGTTCAGCTAGCATCCGTGTACCCCACGGATTAGATCATGCATCTTCAAACCTGCCTGTCCCTTGACATTCCCAGGCTCGTTTTCTAGACTCTCTGAATTCATAAGAAGATCAGCACGATCAGGTGTTCTTACCCCACTTGGGAATCACTTGGGAGAGCCAGTGTGGTGTGTGGTTAAGAGCATGGGACTGGGACTCAGGCGATCTGGGTTCTAGTCCCCGCTCAGCCATGGAACCAACTGGGTGACTTTGGGCCAGTCACAGACTCTCAGCCCAACCTACCTCACAGGGTTGTTGTTTTGGGGATAAGATGGAGGAGAAGATGTGAGCTGCCTTGAGCCCTTTGTAGGGAAAAGGCAGGATATAAATCAGTCAGTCAATCAGCACCCAAAGCACCCAGCTACAGTGCCGCCTCCCCTTGCCGCCCACCTGCTTCCACACCCTTCACTCTGGGCTGGAATGTGTGCAGTGTATGTGCCAGTAGACAGTGGTGTGGCTGAGACAAGGATCTTGCCACTTGCTTGCCAAGGAGCCATTCCCAGGCTTGCAACCTCAGAGGGGAGGAGAGAAGGCGGCTGAGTCTCTTGCCAGCCCCTCCCCACTGAGCTGCCGAGTGGGGTAAGCAGAGAGCAGGGGCAGCAAAAGGGATGAAAAGGAGATGGCCCAACTGGAGGAAGCTTCAACTGTTTTGGCCAGGGATAGTCCTCATTTTATTTATTTTGCTCCCCCATCCCACATATGTCACTGATTGTATTTTGCCCCTGTTTGGGAGGTTCTGGGGTTCCCTTAGTACTTTTAATTCTTCTTTTCCATGGGAGGGATTCATTGCACAAGAGGCACAACTGAACCAAACTAGTAGATGTGACGGGATTGGTGCCTGGGATTCTCGTGTGGCTTTAAAAAGACACCCCCAAAGAGTTTCGTGGGGAGAACCAGATCAGAAGCATGATGTGGAGAAATTGGGGGTGTGCAGTCCTGATTATGAATTCTCAGTTTTCTCTGTTACTTGTTTTTTAATCTTAAATTGGGCTCATCCCACACTTTGAGATAAGCAAAACAGCAACAATAGCCATTTCTTCTAGACAGGGTTGCACTCTCTCCAATATTGTTTGCTTTAATTATAGAACTACTAGCAAATAGTATTAGAAATGATAATTTAATAAAAGGTATAGGATTTGAGAATAAATTTAAAATTAGCTTATTTGCAGATGATACATTATTAACATTAAAGGATTCAATTAAGGTTACGGACCAGAATAAAATACATTTAACAGAATTTGGAGAAATAACAGATTTACAGGTAAATTGGGACAAATCAGAGATTACGCTATTTCATTGTAATAAAGTAGAAAAAGATGAGATTAAGAGCAAGTTAGAAGTCAAAATGAAAAATTATTTAAAATTATTTAGGTGTAAATATGACAAAAAATCTGCAATGTTTAAAAGAGAACAATTTTGATAAAATATAAAATGAAAAAGAAAATGAATGAATTTAGAAAGACTGGTTTATCATGGTTTGGTAGAATAGTGGCATTTAAAATGAAGCCATAACCTAAGATTAATTTCCTGTTTATGATGTTGCCAATTAAGTTAACAGAGAAATATTTGAAAGGATGACAAAATATGCTTAATAAACTTTGTAATGTGGATAAAAAAGCAAGGATTAATTAAAAAGATCGTATATGCCCCAGAAAATAGGAAGTTTAGGTGTTCCCAATGTGAAATTTTATTATAAAGCAAATCAAATGAGGCATATAACAGATATTATACTACAGCTGGATAATATGGGGTAAATTAGAAAATTTTTACAAGATATAGAGGGATCCTTATGGAATGTTTTTTCTTCAACAAGGTAATAAAAACATTATTAAAAGATTTTTTTAATAATATAGGCAGAATTTGGAATAAATGTAGGGACATATTTATCCCATCAATTTTGCCCTTATCTCCAATTACAGAATTAAATTCCCAGAGAATTTGAGGAGCAGTTTGAGGGAAGTACTGAAGAGTAAACATGTTATTAGCTTGAAAAACAGGGTGGGGATGGGCTGGCTTAAATGCTGTTCTGTTCCCGTTGATATTTTGCCATTTTAAAAATGTTAACACAATGAATTGTTCTCATGAGTTGCTTTCATTGCTATCCACTTTGGAAACCTTTTCAAGAGCTGAAGAGGGGGGTGCAAGGGCTTCTCTACCCGAAGGCTTTATTCTAAGCCTGCCCTCTTCTGTGGACTCCCAGGTCGTCCTCAGGGGTCTTACTTCACACTCTCCAACCTCATGGCATGTACAGCTTTGAACCCTCTCACATGTGAGGGGAGTTTCCCACATGGATTGCCACAAAAGCACAGCATGATTTTACATCAGTAGGAAAGTCGCGATACACCTCTCTTTGCCCCGCTCTCAGCTGAAGAACGCAGTGCCGTGCACCGCCAGAAACCCAGTCGAGCACCCCTTAATTCCACTGCTCGTGCAATCCCAGGAACTCTTCATCGTTTCCTGTGCCACTTTTCCTGTGGGTGTGTCGGGTGGGGAAAGGGCAGAGAGGCATTATGTGACTTCATCATGACGGTATTTCAATATCGTGCCATTTCTCAATCGCAGTTGAGTGTGCCTCTTCCACCAGGCCCTCCAGGACCAGGGGGCGCGTCCGATGATGCCATTCCAGTCTCGACAGATTGTCAGGTGCAGGCTTGAACAAGTCATGGGCCGTGGAGCTAAATGTACACGCGCACCCCCTCCACCAAAAGAAAAACTGCTGCCTTCCATCTTTAAATTTAATTTTTATTTTTAAACATTTTCTCACCATGATCTAAAAAATAACTTTTTTCAAGCACTTCTTATAGAGAAAATTTCCCCACACCCCTCTAAAAAACAAAACAAAAAAACATGAAGAAACAAGTAACACTGTACAGGCTGCCCCTGCCACTCACCCGCCCCCCGCACAGACTGTGCCCTGCCTTGGGCTGCAAGGACTTTTGCTCTGCAACACAGTCTGGCTACCCCACAAAAACCCCCTTTCCTGTGACTCCTTCCTCTTCCCGCTCCTTCCCCTGGCTTCTAGTACGCTAGTAGAAGCCAGGATGACGGCTGCTATTAGAAAACCAGAAGAATACTAACTGTGCGACTGTATTTGTACCATCTTAATTAAGTGCAGATCTAGAGCACCCACCAGGGTACTTTTCTGGGAAGGCACCGGGAGTGCGCTGGGGAAATCAATGGCTTGCTTGGAGTGGATGTTCAAGGACAAAAAAATCAGGAACCTGTCAGACAGATTGGTAGTGTACCTCTCCCATTTGTTCATCCTGCCCCCACTCGTTTTCCACAGCAGACTTGCATTCCCATTTTGGAGATGGGCCCTGCATCTCCTGACTTTCCCTGTTTGGGGAGGGAAGGTGCAGAGGCCCGAGTTGGTTGTGATCAGTGCTAAGATTTCTAAGATTTCAGAGCTGAACGCTTGTGAATGTGGCAATGGGTATTCGTTTCAAAGGCCAGGGGAGGCAGGATTAAAGTAAATCTGGAGGGAGGGGGCAATGAGGAGGCACTTGATCTCCTTGAGACTCCCCCCCCCCCAATACCTTGCTCTTTCTTTGCCTTGCATCAGAAGGGTTGGCTGTCTGTTTGAAGTAATCCAGGAATCCAGATTGTTTCACTATTTTACTCTTGTTGGCTTCACATCGTTAGTTTCTCTCTTTTTAAATTCTGTATGAGTTCTGTTTTTCATCCGAGACTTCATTAGGACTTAGGCTACCAAGAGTGTCTTTAATCCATCAGATTGGTTTCTAATTTCATTCTATTTTTGGGATGCGACTGCTCTTTTTTAAAAAAGAAAACAAACAGTCCACTTGGAACTAAGATGTATTTGGTTTTTAATAGAACAGAGGAAAAAAGAGGCCCTTTGCCAGGTCCTGAAGCTTTTTCTCAAGGGGTGGTTTTTAAAAAATTGGCCAGTTTCTTTTGCTGAAAGAAACACATATTTTCCATTTCCATGCTGTATCTCTCCCTCTTTAAGTGGGAGGGTTTATACCGTATGCAGCTGAAGGCCATAATGATAAACCTTGTTCTTTACAAACGGCTAATTCAGGAGGCACTGCATGTATTTCTAAGTGACAACAACAGAGGCCCAGTTCTCACTGTGGAAACCAACTTGTACGCATCATTTCTTTGTTGCCTTTCAGTCCCCCAAAAGGGCTCCTAGGGCAATGGACTTTGGTTATCCTTGCTTTCTGTGGGAGGTGGAAAACTCACCCTTGCTTGCTGTACTAAGTTAGCCAGTTGTTATTGTGTTATATTTTCACAAGCGTTTCCCCCTCACAGTCCCCAATCACCATCACCTTGAAGCCATTTCAGTCCATTTCCCCCTGCTCTTCGCATTCTGTGATCTTTTTAAGGCACCACCACCTCTTTGTTTCATTTGCCTGTTCCTGGACTTCTTTGCCTGTTACCATGTACTCTTGTTTTGAGTGGGAGGGACACAAGAAGCAAAAAGCCTTTTTTGTGGGGACAGGAAATGTAGCTTGAGTTCACAAGGGACTCGGGAAGGGCAAAACAAATGCAAACATTATAAATCAAAAGTGCTTTTACGTAACCTGCTTTCAGCGGCTGTTGATTAGTTTAATTTCCCTTCCAAATCGTACTCGAGGAAGGGGGAGGAGGGCAGAGGAAGAGGAGGAGGTGGCGGCGGCAGTGGCCTGCGTATTGAGTGGAGCTGGAGGAGGACGGGGAGAGGAACCTGTGGGAGCAGAGACCTGCATAGAAGGGGTCAGCGATGGGAGATGCCGACAGCAATGGCCAAACCCTGCCCCTTGGAGGGACCTGAACCGGACCACTCCGTTGCCATCCTGGAAGCAAGAGAACTGGGGAAACCGCATCCGTGGTGAGAGGCTTTGCCGCCTGCCCATTTTCAAGGGTTCAGTTGCTGGTCTACCTCCCCCCGGTCCCTTCTTGATGCTCCCCGGGAAGAGTGCCCGCCCAGGCCTGCCCGCGTCCTGCACGAAGATGCACACGCACACGGCTCATCGCCATGACCCTCCCCCTCAGCAATCCCGCTCTCCTCTAGCCGCTGCAGCTCCTTGACATTTTGTGACAGGCCAGTGGCAGGAAGTGATAACGATAATGAAAATAATACAAGGTGCTTGTTAACATTTGTCCGTTTTCCTTTTTCGGCTTGCTCTGTGCTGCTTGTTTTTCTTAGGATGGGAAAGGCAACATTGAGGCAGGGTGTGAGGTATCCAGTGACAGAGGGGTCCTTGCTGGATCTTCCTGCCGTTGCTCCTCCACTGCCGCTGCCCCCCCGCAGTTAGTGCTGCAGCCCCCCGCTGTGCTCATGCCCGCCGCAAAGGCTGGAAGCCGCTCTGCCGTAGCTTCATCTCGGTGAAGGGGATAGAAAACTCAAATCCTTTCCAATTAAACCAATTGACTCCCTTGAATAGGAAATTAAGAGAAGGAGAGAGAGGGCGTGAGGACTGTTCAACTACGGCATTTACAAGGCGGATCGGTTGCCGCCAATTAGGATGGCTTTGAAGGTAGACTGGGCCGATCCGTGGAGGAGGAGGCTCGCCATGGCTACTAGCCCTGAGGGCACGGTGCTGCCTCCAGTATCGGAGGCGCCATCCTTACATGCAGGAGCTGTGCTGCTGCGCTTACTTGCAGGTTGGGCACTGTGCAATCAGCAGGCTGGACTGGACAGGATGGAGGGATGGAGGCAGCATTTTGCCTGAGGGCCACATTCCTGACACCCAGCCTGTCAGAGGTTGCACACTGGCAGTATGAGGAACAAAACCAGCGCCAAAAGACAAATGGGTTACTTTTTCCGGCACTCCCTCTTCATGCTTCCCTGCTTTTTCCCCACACAGCGGGTCTGCAGAAATGCGACAGATCCCGGAGTCAGGAAGAGCCGCCCTCTTCCTCTTGACCATCTTTTTCCAGGACAGGTCCTCTCTCCTCCCAGTTTCTCTTTCCTTGAGAAAAAGGCACTGCTTTTTTTAATGGCTGCATGGGGGGGCGGGTCAAGTGGGTGCCTGCCAGGCTGCCTGCCTGCCTCTCCTGATGTTTATTTTACTCTGAAATGGGCCCAGGCACGCTGCAGACCCTGGAGCAGGGAGTGACGCTGTGGGGAAAAACCTCACCCATGCAGCTCTCGCCATTCGGCAGCTCGAGGGGGTCATTCCGGAAGAGGCAGCGCCCATCTGCTCACCAGCCCCACTGAGCGCTTACCTGATGATCCCGGTTGTTTGCGTACAGCCCATTGAGGTTGGTGTAGTGGCAGTTGCGGTACCACCATGCGCCGCGATACGAGACGGCACAGGGGATGATGACTCGGTTGGGGTCCCGGTCCCGGGTGGAGAAGACGCTGCCTGAGTGGTAGCTGAACGCATCACCTGCGGAAGCACAAAGACAGTCCGGGTAGGAGGGCGAAGCTGACAGCGGAGGAGGGTCCTCTGCATTAAGCCCACGGCTTTGCCTGGAATTCTACAGGCTCAGGCCTGGCCCAACACACCGCGCCACCTGGGGCAAGGCGGTGCCGCCATGCTGCCCCCCCCCCCCGGCTATTGCTCGCTTGCTCAGGCAGCCCACTCGGCCACTTGCTCGCTCACTCCTGTTCCCCCTCCTGCCCCCCAGTCAGAGAACCAGAGAGTGGGAAGGGGCCTGCAGGGCTGTTGCGGCCAGTCCCCTGCTCAGCGCAGGACTCTGGCTAAGGGTGCCGGGGCTTGGGAGCCACAAGGCCACGGCGAGGGTGGTGGCGTCCCCGACGGGAGGCTCGGAGAGCTCTGCCAGCCCCTCATTTGCCGCACCAAATGTTGGCGGGGACCCCCAGGGCACCTGCTAGATGGGGCAGGGAGGCAGTGGCCAGGCGGGAGGGGATGACTCCTCGGTCTTGTTCCAGCTGGTTGCTTGACCCACACACTCCAAAAATGTACATACAAAAAAGCCATTGGCCAGACTGGCCTGTACCTGCATGTATACATGAGTAGCAGCTCAAAAATCTGATTGACGGGGGAACTTATATAATGCAAAAGAAAAAACCTTGCTCCCCAGTACCTTTTGTGGCTTCCACCAAGAAGCAGAAGCAGTGAGAGTGATAAGGATGGGCAGTGTGGAAGAAGCCCTGCTTTGGGAGGCATTAACACCTACACACCCTGTTCCGGAGCCACAGATGCATTTGTGTAACGCAGCCTGGCCCCATTTGGTGTCCACCAGAAGGGATGGACTACCTCCCCCAGCATCCGCACCCTGTCCATTCCTAGGACACCGGTCTCGGAAGCGTCCATACCACTCTGGCCCTTGGCACCTGCGTCCCCCCAGGGGATCCCAAGCCCCCTCACCGGCAGTGCCACTGTAGCTGCCCAGGTGCAGGCGGTAATAATCGGCTGGGGAATCCACGCGGAAGTGTTGGTAGGTGGCATAGACGGACTCCTTCCCTGCACGGAGATCCACACGCAGCTCGTAATCCCCGGATGTGGTCAGCTGGTGCAGAGCATCATTTCCTGGGAGCAAGCGGAAATGCAGGATGAATCCCGCTCGTCTTGAAGGCCTGCTGGGCAGCTGCAGAGTCCAAGCAGTGCAGCACCTGTGCCCCCTCCTTTCCATTCTGCTGGTAAGGGAGACCTGCAGATTCTCTTCCCTTCACTGAATCAATATGTTGTAAGACTTAGCCTTTTAGAAGAGTGTTTCAGTGCCAGAAGTGCAACGTAGGCTATTAGTGCCAACAGGGTCTTGTGAACATTCTTCTTCCAGGTCAGGTAGGGAAGCATTACAGCTGATTCGTAGGCAAGCGGGGAGCTGCACTTTAAAATAAGCCAGAAACTCATCCAGCACAGCAGGCCCAGCATTTAATGCAGCGCGTACTTCGATCCTGAGCCACTCAGGAGTGCAGAACCTCATGCAGCCCTGGTGCCAAATTCTGCTTGGGAGAAGCCCTTTCTGCACTCTAGTGCCAGGCGGACCCAAGGCCACAGGACTCAGACCAAAGCTACGCATCCACTTTGGCCTGAGGCTCTTGCTGCTGCTTCCTAAGCCTTAAGAGAGGCATTTGAACCTTTCAGAAGAGGGGAAAACTGTGCAAAGCAGGGAAACCACCAAAAGACTGGTGGCTGGGGAAAGCTGCTGGGACCCCGGGAAGAAGGCCCGGCCTCTGGGAGATTCAGGCACCCAGGAGGGCGAGGCTTGGTCCCCATCCCAAGGTTCTGCACCCTGCGCTAGACTGTAATGCTTCTCTCAGTGCTAGCTGGGGAGAAAGAGACAGCGCGATTAGTTAACCATTCATCAGCCTTCCCTGACCTGATATCCGCTAGATGTTTTGAACTTCATCCCCCACCAGCCTCAGCGGGCAGGGATGCTGGAAGCTGTTGCCCAAAACATCTGGAGGGTTCTTGGTTGAGGAAGTCTGCTCTTCTGGCTCATGTTTGGGACGCTGGCTCAAGTGGGGAAGGAATTTTTGGCCTCGGAGTCCCACTTCTCAATTAATAAAGTGACAATTATGACTAGTGTAAGGAACCTGCATTATGGGTGTGAGAAAGACAGGCCAAGCAATGTGCACATACCCAGCCAAAATTCTTCTGTAAGGTTGCCAAAGCCTTTGGCATAATCCTGCCAGTCACGCCAGAAATCTGTCTTGCCATTCATCCGACGCTGAAAGACCTGAGGGAAGAGAGGAGGGAGTGTGAAACAGCGTGTGTGTGTGTGTGTGTGTGTGTGTCCTTGCGAGCAGGCATCCCTGCTGTCCTGTGTGTTGAAAATGCATCCACTTCATGCCAAGAGAGTTCACATGCCGTGAAAGTACAGTGCCAAGCACGGTGGAATGTCTAGGCAGGTCTTAAATTAGGCCAAGTGAGGATATCTGCATATATTTGTTTTGCATAATTTGGTCTGCTAGTCATGGAGAGGCAAAGCAATTCAGGTAAAGTCCTTCTACAGACCAGTCAGCATGTAAGGTTGGCACAGTTTATATCTGCATCTTAGATAAAATCCACCTGGGAGTTTAGAAGAGTATGCTGCAGGTCTTGGTGTAAGAGAGTGAAAACCACCCTGCTGGAGAAAGCAACACAATGGATTTTTTATTTAGTGATGCACGTACAAAAGGAGCCCTCTCAGAAGAGGTGCCCTTTCTCAAGCACAGAAAGGGGGGTGTCCTTGCTTAAGAGGGGGAATTTTGCTAGCCAAAACACATTTCTTGCGGCATAAGCTAGTCCCCTCGACAGCCAGCTTGGCACCGGACGATGGGAGCTGCATTTCCACAAGCCTGGAGAGCACCAGGTTGAGCATGTGTTTCCGCAGGTCAGAGTCTATTTCATCAGAGACACAGGAGATCATCCTGAGTTGGGAGGTGAAAAAGAGGAAGAGGAGGCTGAGGAGCAGGAGGAGGAAGAAATGCTAGTCATGAGTGAAAGGGGAGCACTAGGATTATTAACAAGACTTTCTGAAAGAATGGCCACTGCAGTTCTTTTATAAACATCACACCTTTAATGGCATTTTTTCCCTTCCGCCCCCAGTTTACCCTCCCTGCGTGTTTATGCACGCAAATGTATGCGAAGCACTCGAGACACACCAACAAGAGGAGCAGCTCAGATCTGCTCTCTGGCTTTGGATGCATCAAATGCTCTGCCTGCAAAGGTGCACAATGATCTCAACAGCAGGCCTGGGGACCTTTGTTTGCCAGGAGCCTGAATGGATCTAGGTGAGCCTGCGGGGTGTTGGAGATGCGAGTGCAGAAACTAGAATAGAAATGTTTTAATAAATAATAAAATAAATAAAACTTCAGACATACATGTCTGAAGTATAGAAGTATAGTCTATGGCATAGAAATGTTTTAATAAATAATATAATAAATAAAACTTCAGACATACATGTCTGAAGTATAGAAGTATATTCTATGGCATAGAAATGTTTTAATAAATAATAAAATAAAACTTCAGACATACATGTCTGAAGTATAGAAGTATATTCTATGGCATAGAAATGTTTTCATAAATAATAAAATAAATAAAACTTCAGACATACATGTGTGTGCGCACACACACAGCACACATATATACCCAGATGAGAATGCAAACTGAAGTTCTGAGGCAGGCGAACAAGGCCCTGCACCTGCAGAACATGGCTGGGAGATGCGCAGAGGACGCGAGCCCCCAGTTACAAGCACCGGTGTGTGGCTGCCACCACCCTCCAGTCGCGCCCATAATACTCACAATCCAGCCGCCTCCGTCGGTCTCCATGTCACAGTACACTTGCAAGGGGTGGTCTCGGTTGCCTCCCAGATAAATCGTGGTGACCCGTGAGGGCCCTGGTCCATTCTGACTCTCCTCGGAGCAATCTCGCGGGAAGGGGTATGTCAGATGCCCTGCCAGGGGAAGGACGGTGGATTAGTCAACGGCTGCTCCGCTGCATCCCAGCAGCCAAGTCATTCTCCAAGTGTCATCTGCATGTAGCCCAAGCAGCCCAGCCCAGAGGCGAGGAGGAGGGAACCAGCAGTCTTGCGGAAACCCCAAGCTCTGCAGAAGGACAAAAACGTGAAAGTGGGGTGGGGGGGGACCCCAGCAAATCCCTACGAGGACAGAGCATGCTCAGGGGCCAAAGAATGCAGCGGGTACGTTGGACGGAAAAGCACCGGAAATCCGAGCATGGAATGGAGTACTGAGGAACCGGGTGTGGCTGGCTCGTCCAAACCCTGATCAGGAGCATTCCAGAATGCACCCCACGTTTTGTGTGGGCCCCACGTGGCAGCCAGGAGAGACACCTCTGGCGGCCTGCTGCTGGGCACAGCCGTCCCTGCCACTTTCTGCCTGTGAGCTCACCAAGGGGGGAATACTGATGCCCAGCTAGTGTTGGAAGCAGAAGACGAGTCGGATGTTAATGGACTATCGCTCCCCCCGCTATTATTGCCCCTGCTGACTGGGGCCGACGGGAGGTGGAGTGCAATAGCACTGGGAGGTACACGGCTTCCCCACCCTGGGGAATGTTCCACGAACACCTGCAGCTTGACAAGCTGGCACTTGCTGGGCTGCATGAGTGTGGTGCCTTTTGCAGAAATCCAGCAGTCCCCTCTCCCCCTTCAAGAAGAATTTTCCCAGAGGAGGCTCGGATTATAAATGACCTGTAGTGCGCTCTGTGTGCATTTGGGCAGCTAGCCTTGCCAAAGGAAGAGAAACCAGGAAGAGAAGCATTCGGAATGCAAGGGCTGCTTCGTGTGGGTTGCTAAGAGTGCTGAGAGGCCTAGGAGTGCCCAGCCGCCCCGGGATGAGAACTGCCCCCCCCGGGGCCCCAAGGCTTATTACCATACCAGTGGTGAAGGAAGTGGAGGTGGGGGCAGTCGGCTTGCCTTCCCTCAGTGCCTGGACTTGCACGTGGTACAGACTGGAAGGAATCAGGTCTTGGAGTTCATACGAAGTGACAGAAGCATTCAAGGGGATCTCCTGTGGCACGGAGAGTAAGAGCGGTATGGGGTGAGGATGCAACGTAATCGAGCGCTACGCTATAAAGCAACCTTCCCCAGCTGGGAGCCCCTCAGTCCATTGGAGTTCTCATTATCTCCATCCAAGAATGGCCAGCTGAGAAGTCACCCTTAACAGGCTGCCAGCTTGTTAATAAGTCCAGGATGACTGGCTCTTGCCTCATGAATGGGAACTATTGAAAGGAACGCTCTCCTGGGAGCTGGAAATCTCTCTCTGTATATGTTTGCTGGAGTGTGGTACTGCTCCAGGTTCTGGGGCTAGGGAGGAAACTGGCTGGAGTCACCTTTTTCCAGGCTGAAATGGGAGAAAAGGAGCTGCAGAAGCACATGCTTTCGACCCAAAGCGCCCTGTGAGTACATTTCAACATGAAAACAACCCACACTGCAGCGATGCTCTCTCGGAGAAGTGGGGAAGTGAGTGACAAGAGTCATACTAAGCAGTCAAGCACCTTTGATTGTCCGTATGGGGTTTCATAACTCAGGAGGTACCCGCCAGGAGGGACATGGGGTGGTGACCAGGTAAGACGAGCACTTCGAGGTGAGACCTCGGTAGCATGAAGGTCACGAGGTCCATCTGCTCCTGGACGAAGATAAAAAAGTCTTCTTTTAATTTAAAAGTTAGGGAAAATGTGGAGTCTGACAGGGACGATTGCTGCCCCTCCAATGCTGTGTGCTCCTTGCAGCGGTTTAAGAGCAGAGGGAAGTACAAGGTTTCTGGCCAGATCAAAGGCCCCTCGTGTGGCAGCACCCCGTCCCCAATAACCTCGTCCCTTGCAAAGCTCCTGTGAAGAGCGTGATCGGGTTAGTCATCCCCCCACTTGCCTTCACTGAGCACCTGGTACCCAGGAGATCCTGTGGGAACTTCAGTGTCTCTGTCTCCCCCAAGCCCCGTCCACATACATACCAGTGGTGAATGTGGCGCTGACTGGAGAGCTACGGTTTCCTTCCTTCTCCCCATAGACACTGGTCCGATATTCTGTGTCGAGGTGCAGTTCTGACAACTGCAGCTGGACCCGGTTCCCGGGTACTGATTCAGAGACCCTGGGGCCTGGGAGAAGAACAGAGAGCAAGAGGTCACTCAGGAAGGGCCAAGACGCACAGAAGCAGGGCCTGACAGGAGCCTCCCTGCAGCAGGAGCTGCAGCTCGGCAGCGGAGGGCAGGCCTTGCAGGCAGAAGGCTCCAGCTGCAGTCTGTGGACTCTCCAAAGCATGGGTCCTCGAACCATGGCCCGGGGGCCGCATCCGGCCCACCGTGTCCATTTGGACCTGCTGCACCCACGCGCAGGGAGGCAGCGCTTTGCTCGCTTGGAGAGAACGATCTCCAAGTGAGCAAGCCGCTGCCTTGTGCGCCCGTCTTGTGGTGCGTGCCTGCCCCCGCCTCACCTCACCTCGCCTCGCCGCACACGCCCCCCCGCCCCCCCGCGCGCACTGCTGGCACCACCTTTCCAGCCCACACCCAGCACCAGCACCTTTCAACTGGCCCCCTGGTGAAAAAGTCTGAGGACCCCTGCTCCAAAGGAAGGATCTGGAAAAGAGATCCTGAGACCCTGAAGGACGGTGGTGGATCATGGGTGGGTGGAAGGGAGACCGAATGGCTGGGACTAGACCAGCTTTCTCCCACCTGGTGCCCTTCAGATGTTGTGGACTACAGCTCCCAGCATCCTTGATCATTAGCCATTTTGGCTGACACAGGCAGGAGATGAAATCCAAAATATCTGCAGGCTCGGCTCCACAGGGAGCTGAGGAGGTTGGCAGTTGACGCCCACATCCTTGCGAATCGAGCAGTCAAACTGCCTCCCCACCAGCCCTGACTCTGCAGCACCACTGCCTGCCCTGCCCTGCCCTGCCCTGCCCTGCCCTGCCCTGTCCTGTCCTCCCCATTCCCCGTCTCTCACCACCAATGGGTCCATAGGTGACGATGTAGTTGCTCATCTCAGCCACAGGAGGACGCCATGTTAGCACAGCTGAGGAATCGGTTACGTTGATGGCACGCAAGTCAGAAGGACCATCTGGGACTGTGCGAGAAAAGAAGGCTGTTTAAGGAGGTGCCAGCCCTCGCAGTGCCAGCTAAAAGGTTCCCAGGCATTAAGGGTGGAAAATCTCTCTCTCTCTTTAAGCAAAACCTCAGACTGCCACAGCTACAAATGGTTAGGAGGGGCCAACTGCCTGCCCTGGTATAAAGTAGGCAAAATCCACAAATGGAGTCCCTGGTCCAGGGTCCTTGATAAAGCTCCTGGATGTGAAGGGAAGCCTGCTCTGGCCTCCCCCACTAGCCAGGGCACCAAGGACCACTGGGAGGCTGTACTCCCTGCCTCCCAGGAAGACCATCGCCACAAGAGGTGGTGCCCCGGCCCTACCCACCCCCCAGAGGAAATGCTGCTGGAAGGGCTTGCATCCCCATTCCCTGCCAGGAGAGGCAGGAGGTCCACTGGCGCCACCGCACAGCCAGGGGACTTGGGGCTGCCGGCAGGATCAGCAGGCGTGGCAGGGCAGGGGCTGAGAACCACGCCTCAGCCGGGGCCCACTGACAGAGCCCCCCGGCCCTGCTCCCCCGCCTCACCACCACCAGCCTGCCTGTTCTCCTGCCCCCGCTCTTGCCCAGGCAGCAGTGAAGGAAGAGCAGCCCGATCGCCTTGCTCTTTGGTTCTGTGCCCGCCCAGCACGCAAGTGGGCACAGTGGAACGAGGGAGGAGGAGTGGCAGCAGCTGGTGAAGAAGGCCATGAGATGGCTGACTCACTGAGGGGGGGCTCCGAGGGAGGGTTTCTGCCCAAGAGCCCTCAGAAGCCTACGGCCAGGGCAGGTTTTCTTTTGTAGGACCAAACATTGCTTATCGAGCAAACTTAACATTAAATCAATTGAAACGTGGTCTACAAAATAAGGAAGCAAGTAAAGAAGTGAACAAGGCTACTGATATATAACATGTAAGCTTTCTTCACCATGGGTTTACCTGTGGTGACGTAACCCACCAAGGGCTCGCTCTCTTCAAACCCACGAAGAGACATCACAGTGACCTCATAACTGGCTCCCGGGGTTAGGTTGTCGATGGTTGTTTTGAGCTTGGATCCATCCACGATGATGCTTCTGGGCTCTCCTGCAACAGAATCCTGGCAATGAAAACTGCACAGAAACTGTTAGGAGGAGGTATCTCAATCTCCAGTCTGCTGGGGAGTTGTGGTGGACAAACCTAAGATGGGTGCTTTGCAGCAGCAGCAGCAGCACAAGGACTGCAAATATATATGGGGTTGAATCCAGACTGAAGTTGGATTATCTGTGCTGGAAGAAGAGCATTTCCTCCCTGGCAGCCCCCTGAAAGTGCTACATGGGGATGATCCCCCAAAACTGGGCAGAGGGATCTTCCATGAGCAGAGGCCTTCCTCTTGCAGAAGGTCCCATCTACTTGCAAGAGGCAGATCCTGGATCTAACCCATGGCAAAAATCTTAAGATGCTTGTCTGGGCTAGCAGTGGATCTGAAAAGGCTGAAGACCAAGGATGAACCACGGGTTGCTCCATCTAAGAAACAGGGGGAAAGGAAGCCTCACCCCCAGCAACGTTGCTGGGGATCTGTTTCCCAGGACACCCCTCAGATCTGTCTGGAATGTCATTATTGTCAATGGAAGGTATTCTCCTCAGCTTAATTGCCATGCAAGGGGGCAGTTTGCAGGGGGATGGCAGCTCTGAAAAGAACTGTTAATGTTCCTACTCCCACATGCTGTAACAACCCCCCTCACCCTCCCAATCAAACAAAAACTTGCCCCTGCATGGAAATCAAGCTCTGAAAAACCTTTTTTTTTTTTTCATTACTTCAGCATGTCAGGATCAGGGTACAAATTAAGTGAAGAATGTGTTTCAATCGCATGATTTGGATAAAAAAATGAAGCTGCTGACTTTGCCCTCCTGTAAATACATTGTGAATATATTCTACTAATTATTGCTAAGTTTGCATATACAGTTTGCACACAATCTGGTGTCCTATGGGCCTGTAAATGCCTCACGGTGACCCTTCTCACCCCCATCGGAGGGCTGGAAGGAAACTTTATAGCGATCGATTCGAGAGGATGGCGCTCTCCAGTTGGCCACGACCGAGGTCTCACGGATGTCACTGAACCGCAGGTCCCGGGGACTGTCCAGCTCTAGAGGAAGGAAGAAGGCAGCAGAACATAAAAGGATTGTTTATGCTATTTATTACGTTTATAACCCACCTCTTCCCCCTATAGGAATCCAAAATGGTTGTATATAATCCTCCTCCTCCTCTCCACTTTATTTTCATAACTAGCATTGTGAGAGAGCTGAGCAGAATCCTTCCCACTAGCATTCATGGACCGGCTCCTGTGCTTGGTTATCTGAGACACTGAGCTGAGCCAAGAGGTAGCGTGTGAATGCTGCAGAAGGATGTTTGTGTGGCAGAGGGACGCGCATTTGCACGGGGTTCCACGACAGGCAAGCGCTATGTGAACACTGGGTGTGCTCGCCAGGAGCTGGGCCTCACAGCCATGCCAGAGCAGACCATCTGAAGAGCGAGGCACAGGGAATCCAACCCCCAAAACTGACCGCTCCTGCACCCCTACTTGTACCCACCCTAAGAGGGGGCTGGGCTGAGCATCGGTAACTGGCCCAGAATCACCCAGTGAGCTTCATGGTGGAGCGGCAACTGGAACCAAGACACGAATCTGCACAGCTCTCTCCTACACCACACCGGCTCTTGGTCAGTGTGGGGTAATTGAATTATTCAGCCTCCCATTCCTTCAAGAAAAGGGCGTTCATAATGGTAGACTCCAAAAGTGCTTTTCCACGAAGCAGCTTGGTGGGACATTTTGGACAGGCAAATGGAAGGACCTTCTTCACATAGCACAGAGCTGAACCGTGGAATTTACTTCTACAAGAGGTGGTGATGGCTGCCAACTTGAATGGCTTTAAAAGAGGAGTGGTCAGCTTCGTGGAGGAGCAGGCTGTCCAGGGCTACTAGTCCTGCTGGTCACCCCCTGACAGAGCTGCCTAAGTGCACTTATTGCTGGGGAACATGGGCGGGAGGGTGCTGCTCCAGCCACATCCTCCTTGTGGGTTTCCTGTGGGCAGCTGGTTGCCCACTATGTGAGCAGGGTAATGAAAATACAGACTGTTGGCCTGATCCAGCAGGTGTCTTCATAGGTTCTTATCTGGGAAAGCACAAATGCGGAGAAGGACAGAGGTTCCAAGAAAGGAAAGGAAAAGCTATGATCTCACAGATATTGGGGGATTCCAGGCCCCGGCAGACCCAGCCAACACGACAAATGCTCAGCAGTGATGATAGGAGGATAGCAGTCTGAAAGCACCTGGAAGGCCACACATTCTTCTTCCCTGTTCTAAGGTGCACTAGGCAAGAATTTATTCAGCCCGACGCATTTTGAGGAATACCTTCTTCAGTGGCAAGGTATAAATAAAGACTGCGCAGAGCGTTCCAGAGCTGTTTTGCAGGTTCAGTTTTGGAAATCTAATACATGATTGGAATGCAAAATGTTTTGTTTTCTTGAACAAGCAGCAATGAGTGGAGGAAAGGAAGGAATTGACTTTGACTGGGGCTGTGGCACAGGGGCAGAGGCTCAGACCCTTTTCGTCCCAGTCCAAATTGGCTGCCTTTTTCCCAAAAAAGAAGGAAGAGGAGAAGGAAGAGGAAGATGATGCAGATGAAATGAAGTTATGTTGGAATGAAGTTCCAATTGTGGAACTCTGATGTTATGTGGTTGTAAGCTTGGCCCTCTGGGAAGCAGGGAATGCAAAATGAGATCCATGCCTTGGCACTTACTTCCTCTTACTCAACACCCTCCCCACAGCCTGTGAAACCCTCCCTCCCCTTCTCCTGGGATTAGCTGTGGCCAATCTGGCTGACCACAAAGGAAACAGAGTAGTTCCAGAGATTAATTCCTTGGGTCTCACAAAGGAAACCACAGATGGAAGCCAGCCTAGCCTGGTGTGCTTCAAGCCAGGACACAGCTGCTGGGTTCCTGCTGCTTTCTGAAAGATCAGCTCCAAGCCTCCAACATGATGGCTCCTGCACTCACTCCTTTCTTTTGATGGCCCTCTTACCACAGGCTGATAGTTAAATTTGATGGCTGAAGCTGTTACAGCCACACACACCCCAGTTCAGCTTTTCCTTGCAAAGACTGGCTGGAGAGCACAGTAGGCCAACTTGAAAAGCCTCATATGAGGTTGGAAAAATGGGAAGAATGACATTAGAATGACTTTTTTCCAAGATAAGGGGATGAAAAAGGTTGAAATGGAGGAAGGGGCTCACTGATGACAATGCATACATCCCCCCACACCCACATGTGGAGAAATCCCACAGGAGCAATGCTGTGTCAGCATCATGGGATGTTCCTCTCAGTTGACTTCCCAAGGGGCAGCCAGCAGCTCCCAAGAAGATCTTGCCTTCCTCGCTGCTGCTTCCACTTACTGTTTCCCTTGTGAACCAGGCAGTGCTGGTGAAAATGATAAACGCAGCATAGCCACTTTCTTCTCCTTACCCCTCCAGTTTCAACAAATATTCCCAGATTTGATCCTTCCTCTGTGAACAAAACTAGTTGTTTGCCTTATTGGCACTCTCCTTCACACTCCTCCCACCTCTTCATTCCATTTCAGTCCACAAGGCCCATCCTTGTTGACTGAAAGTTTCTGCCTCTCCTGCCATTCTAGCTCCAACGGGCTTTCTCCTTCATGAATTTGTGTGTCATCCTTGTGCAGGGGCCACACTAATCTCTGTATCATTCCAAGTTTGGTAAATGTGCTGCCGAAAACAGTCCCAGGTTTTCGCCAATGTTTTTTCCGGCAAGAGTAAGTGCTCTATCACTTGCAGAATGCTTTGGCTGCTGCAAGGGTATTAGTCACTTCCAGAGGCTCTGTCCTTGTGGCAGAAGTGTGACTGAAATTTTACCACATTTTCTATTCAGTTACATTCTGCTGCAGGGGCAAGTTTTACATTGCCTTTAGTGAATAGGTTCCCTTGTTGCTGACATGATCTCCACCTGCCCTTCCTTTTGGCAGGCAGCTACAAGTATGTCACCCGATCTGTGGTATAATTTATATTCTGTGCCCTTAAAACTAGACAGACATATGGTTTTTTTTTTTCTTTTCAGGTTAAGCATTAGGGAGGCTGCTGATATAGATCAATACATCAGTCTATTTTGACGAGGTGCCTTGGGGCATGTAGGCAGTCTGATTTTGGAAAAGGAAGAGGGCTTTCTCTTTCTCTTAGAGAACTGCACTGACTGTAGATTGCATTAACAGAGCTTCTTATGGCAAACATTCCAGAACATCATGGCAACCCAGCCCACAGCCGTGGGGCAAGGCACACAAGCAGAAGGCAGTCAGCTTACCTTGCCATGGAAGCGGGCTTCCAATTCTCCTTGCTCAGCTTTATGTACTAGTGAGAACTTAATTCAAGCCACTAATTCTACATGCATTGTGTCACTACTTCAGTTATGGGCCAAAACAGATGCTACTTTAAATCTGTGTTTAGCAGCTCCTTAAAACAAACCTAGGGTGAGGGAGACCAATCTGGATCAGAACCCTGGCTGGTAAGGTGAGTGTGTGTGTAGCGGGACAGGGGGTGATATGAAGAGCTTGATCAATCTTTTTGCACCTGCTCTAATGAAACTGAAAAAGAGGCATGGCTAATGGACACAGGTTTAAAGAGATGTCTGTTTTGGCTCCAATACTACTTTCCTCTTGCTGCCCTGGCAGTGAGATGTCAAATGTGGCCTTGTTACCTAGCCCAGTTGTCCTTGCTGCTCCATTGATATTGGCCGCTTCTGACCCATCCTTGATGCCATAGACTGTAAGGCTGTATTCGGTGTTGGGTGTAAGGCCGCGAAGTACAGCAGTAGTTTCATCCCCAGGCACCTTCACTTCCTTGGCAGGTGGGGGGCTCCTCCCACTGCCTGGAAGAGAGTCCTTGTATCGGACCAGGAAGGAATCAAACTCTCCCTCTGGAGCTTCCCAGGTGAGCTGCATGGTTGTGGGAGTCACTTCAGAGACAACCAGGTGATCAAGCAAGTGGGCAGGTCCACCAGGGGCATCTGGGAAAGCTACACAACAGAGAAAACAGATGAGCAAATGGGCAAAAAGGTAGCCTGTGAGGATCAAACAAAGTGTAAATGATGTACACTGGAGCAAAAATCCCTCCTTCACATCTACACGCCTTGATCTTTAAACAGAAACACACAGAGAGGAGATCTTGCTCATACATCTCCCGAGTAACATCTGGTTTTGCTCCCCCCTTCTAGCGTGTAGAAATGTTAAGAGACCTGTCAAAACAGTCCTCAGTTATGAAAAGCTGAAGTTCTCTACCAGCCTTCTCAAACCCGGTAACTACTAGATATGCTGGACTACAGCTCCAATCATCCCTGATGGGAACCACAGCCCAACAAATCTGTAGGGCACCCATGGCTTGTGGAAGGCAGCCCTACACCTTTGTCAGCACATCCTGGTGGCTGACTTTTAGCAGCTGCAAAAGGGGGAAGACTGCAGGCACCTCCCGCTGGCACCCAGTTGCAGCTTTTCTCCCCACGAGCATTCTCCCCTTTGTCCAATTTCTGATATTGAGACTATGCTCAGCTGGGATGAGGGCACATGGAGAGGGGTTGCGGAAAGGCATGCGGTGGGTAGGAATGGGAGAGTTCCTCACCTCACCATGCCTTTGGGCTTGGGGAAAATTCCAGGTTTACAGTGCTGGCGTCATGTTTGGTTTGGCCCTCAGCCTCACCCTTAGCTGAACGTCATGGCCAATTCTCCGGCTGTGCCTCTCACCCCTTTTACTGCCCTGTCCTTCTGCCTTGACGCAAGGAGATGTACGGAACAAGTCACTGGCCTTGCTTTTTTTGAAAGGCATTAGCAACTGCAGACACCAGCACATTTTTCTTTGCATGTTTATCCAACGCAAGTGGCTGCTGCTGTCAATGCATTAGTAAACAGTCTGGCTCGCGCCATTAATTTCTCTGCACATTTCTACATTTTGCAAGTCCTGCTCCTTTTGATAAGTGCAGCCTGTTGCTTCAAGCCACTTCTCTCATTTCTAGAGCCAAGGGAAGGGAACTGAATCCAAAGACAAATCTCCCCACTTTGTTCACTAAGCTCGCTCAGAGCCAAACTACATGTGACACTAATTGCATCATTGGAAAGTATGGCAGCTCCTCAAGCGCCTGATGTTCATGGGAACTGCAATGTGTGGAGAGGTTTAATTCTTTCTTCTACAGTTGTGGTCATGAAAAATCAATCCCCCAATCTCCCAACTGTTATTAGCCTTAGAGAAAGAGTACGTATTAGCCTAAGGGGAGTTTTTAGAAAAACAAAATAGATGCTACAAGCTCGTGTGGAAGAACTCTCAGGTCTGTTCAGTTCTACTATTCAGATCAAATTCTTGCTCTTAGAATTCTTTAATTCCAAGTGTACTTTTGTTGAGGTGAGGGCAGAGGTGAGAAACCTCTTCCAGCTTCAAAGCAGCAGTGCTGGAGGTGGCCAGAATACCAAAATTACCAGCAGGTTTTAAGTGGCGGTGGTGGTGATCTTATCCAATTGCATTTGCTTCCTGCCCCCTTTTCTCTTTTGGGGAACCCCAGGTGGCTTACCCACGTTCTCCCCTATTCCCTCTTTATCCTCACAACAAGGGGAAGCAGGTTAGGCTGAGAGTTAGTGACTGGTCAGAGTCACCCACTCAGTTTCATGGCTGGCTGAGTGGGGACTGGAAGCTGGATCTCCCAGGTGCCCAGTCCAACACTCTCTCCACCACACCACACTGGCTTTCAGTGCCAGTAACTGAGCCTTCCCTAGGAGAGGCAGTTCAAATGTTTGGAACTGGAAAACATCTGCACAATGATGGGAAAGTGCCAGTCAATAACTGGAGAAACAGAGTGGGGTCAGGGTGAGGTGCTGGCCCCCCAGAGAAGACACAGGGCTCCAGTTTGGCCCTCTGACCTGCAGTTTTGCTCCCCTGAAGTTCTCTCCAGCAAGTCTGCACACCCCTGCTATAGACAACAGAACTGAGTCCAAAGGACCCATGGCCTATCTTGATATCAAGTGGCTTCCTGAATGCCTAGAAAACTTCCCTCTATCCACCATCTCCACACTAAGCACTGCCCCACAAATCTCTGCCATCTGTACCTTTAGCTATCCTTCTTATTTAAGTAAAAAATGAAGGGAACCCCCATAGGGCTTTTCCTCATAGGGAAGGTACCAAGGATAAATGGGTACCGATGATCTAAGGCTGCAGAAGGTAGTTTCACTGCACTTTTCCTTGGTTGTAGAAAAGCATTTGGGTGACGAATTAGGAGTGCTAGCGTTGGGAGGGATCTTGGCTTTCTGCCTCTGCATTTTGAACAGCAGTTTGATTTATTCAACTCAGTTTTCCTCTTAAAAAGGGTATTGTTATTATTGATTTCTAGCCTGCTTTTTCAAGGTAAAAACTGACAGTGCATATTTATTTTATTTTATTTATTAAAACATTTTTATGCCGCCCCATTCGCCGAAGCCTCGGGGCGGCTTACAACATAGATAAAACAAGTTAAAATCCATATAAAATAATCTTAATTAAAACTCACATTATAAAATAAGCCGCCCTGGCCAGATAAAATTCAATTGTATTTAGCATTTAAAATGTTGCTTAAATAAAAAGGTCTTAGCCTGGCGCCGAAAAACAAATAACGACGGCGCCAGGCGGACCTCTCTGGGGAGCGCATTCCATAACTTAGGCGCCACCGCTGAGAAAGCCCTTCTCCGAGTAGCCACCCTCCTAATTTCTCTCACGGAGGGCTCCCGGAGAAGGGCCTCTCCCGCCGATCTCAGGGGGCGACTGGGCAAATATGGATGTAAGCGCTCCTTCAGGTAACCAGGACCCAAGCCGTTTAGGGCTTTATAGGTCATTACCAACACCTTGAATTGGGCCCGGACTTCAATGGGGAGCCAGTGAAGCTGACGGAGAACTGGTGTCATGTGAACATAACGTCCAGTCCCCGTCAGCAGCCTGGCAGCTCTATTCTGAACCAATTGAAGTATCCGGACCGTCTTCAAGGGTAGCCCCACGTAGAGCGCGTTACAGAAGTCAAGACGGGAAGTCACCAGCGCATGAGTCACTGTTGCAAGGCAGTCGTACTCCAGGTAGGGGCGCAGCTGATGAATCAGCCGAAGCTGGAGGAAAGCGCTCCTCGCCGCTGTTGTCACCTGAGCTTCAAGTGAAAGCTCCGGGTCGAGGAGCACTCCCAAGCTGCGGACCTTGTCCCTAGGAGGGAGTGCAACCCCATTCAGGACAAGGTTCAGGTCACCTTCTCCGAAGCCCGAACCGCCAACCAACAGGACCTCCGTCTTGTCTGGATTGAGCTTCAGTTTATTGGCCCTCATCCAGCCCATTACCTCGGCCAGGCACCGGTTCAGTACAGCCACTGCCTCACCTGGATTGGTGGAAAACGAGAGGTAGAGCTGGGTATCATCAGCATACTGATGGGTCCGCAGCCCACACCTCCTGATGACCTCTCCCAGCGGTTTCATGTAGATATTGAACAGTAAAGGGGACAAAATGGAACCCTGCGGTACCCCATGGCAAAGCTGCCATGGCGCAGAGCCATAGTCCCCCAACACCACCTTCTGGAATCGGTCGTTGAGATAGGAGCGGAACCACCGCAAAGCGGTGCCTCCGACCCCCAATCCCGCCAGCCTATCCAGAAGGATACCATGGTTGATGGTATCGAAAGCCGCTGAGAGGTCCAGGAGAACCAACAGGGACGCACTCCCCCTGTCCTTCTCCCTGCACAGGTCATCGTACAGGGCGACCAAGGCAGATTCAGTACCGTACCCGGGTCTGAAGCCGGACTGAAATGGGTCCAGATAATCAGTTTCATCCAAGAGTGCTTGGAGTTGTCCCGCCACCACTCGCTCTAACACCTTGCCCAGAAACGGGATGTTGGCCACTGGTCTATAGTTAGCGGCCATCCCTGGATCCAGTGACGCCTTCTTCAGGACCGGTCGGACTACCGCCTCCTTTAAAGGAGCAGGCACCCGACCCTCCCTCAGAGAAGCGTTAACCACTTCCAAGATCCAGGTTCCAATCCCGTGCTTGGAATCCTTTATTAACCAAGACGGGCAAGGGTCCAGAAGGCAAGTGGTGGGACGTACTCGTCCAAGCACCTTGTCCACATCATCGGGCCGCAATAACTGAAATTCATCCAATAATTCTGGACCAGACGGTAGCGTTGGTGTCTCCCTTAAAACCTCTGAATCAATAGTGGAATCCAGCTCGTGACGAATCTGAGCGATTTTCTCCCTAAAATGCTCGGCAAAGTCGTCACAGCGGGCCTTTGAGGGTGGAATCAGCTCTTCCTTTGGCCCTGGGTGAACCAGGCCTTGCACCACTCGAAAGAGCTCCGCCGGACGGCATTGTGAGGAGGCAATGGAAGCGGAGAAGTGTCTCTTTTTCGCCGCCCTCACCGCCACAGCATAGGCCCGATAGTGGGCTCTTAAGTGTGTTCGGTCAGATTCATCACGTGATTTCCTCCACCTACGCTCTAGCCGTCTCCCAACCTGCTTCATTGCCCTCAATTCTGGAGTGTACCAAGGGGAAGAGCGGGCTCTGCCCGATGGGAGAGGACGCTTAGGAGCGATCGTGTCTACAGCCCTGGTCATCTCCCCATTCCACAGTTCAACCAGAGCCTCGACAGGAGCACCCGTCTTGTCAGCCGGAAACTCCCCCAGAGCCTTCAGGAATCCTTCTGGATCCATCCGGCTCCGGGGGCGGACCCACACAATCGGGTCTGCACCCTTGCAGAGGGAGATGTCGCTCTCGAGCACAAACCTCACTAGGAAGTGATCTGACCATGACAGGGGAGTCAAGCATAAATTCCTCACCCTCAGACCACCCTCTTCCTGCCCCGTCGAGAAAACCAGGTCCAGAGTGTGTCCACGTTCATGGGTCGGGCCGGTGACATGTTGAGACAGCCCCATGGCCGTCATGGAAGCCATGAAGTCCTGAGCCGCCCCGGTCAAACTAGCCTCGGCATGGATATTGAAGTCCCCCAGGACCAGCATCCTGGGGGTCCTCAAC